CCTGCTGAAAGGTGTCGGTTAGCGCGATGGAGGACCATGTATAGCTGGGACCACCGTTGGTTGCATTGATCAGCTGGTAGGACAAAGCACGGCCCCTGGGAAATCATCAGCATGTTGTGTTGCGACAAAGAAGACCAAAGGCTATCATTACCAGTAGTCAGTAATTGAAGTCGGGTAGCCCGCATCCGACTTTCCGGAGACCGCATTGCCGATGTCCCTATAATAGGACGCTGAATCCAAAATCTGAATGCTACCCCCATCGGGACCTTCGAAGATTGAATTTTGAAATTGCCAAACGGTGCCCTTTTGGTGTGTCTGGAGAGCAGAGATGGTAGTAAAGTTGTTGATATAGATTGAGCCCAGCAGCCATGATCCACCACTCAGGCCAGACAGATAGGTGGCTGACTGCAGCAATCCACCTAACTGGCCGGCGCTCGTAGAATTCGGCGTACGAATATCAAAGGCCTTGATTGCACCCGCGCCGTTCATCAATGCTCGATAGCCACCACCAGAGACTGCGATGCCGATATTGGGAAGATCCGACGAGTTACTGGAATGGCGGTCAATGTACCCCGCCGCGTCGAAGTCTTGAATCTTGACATGATTAAAGAAGTCCTTCATCGCAGAAGTCGTCTTGCCCCGACGCGTCTCCAGCCATGACGTCTCGTTGGGCGACAATTTTGCGGCACTGCGAATGGTAGGGCGACTGGCAGGACAACCGACTGTACTGGGTGTGTATCCATCGGGGGCATTGGGTAGAGCACGCTGTAGGATTTCAGCATGAAAGGGCTCTGGAGCACCAGTCACACCTATCGAAATTCAATGACATCAGTTCCCGTTTGTAGGCAGATATGTGAAAGCTACACATCCGACTAGCTTGAGCCACACTTTTGAGGCAGAATGATTCACCTACCAGAAAATAATAGACCAGCGACAGTGCACGCGACTGTGATGGTCTTCATCTTGGGTTGTACTACGCCGACTCAAGCTACAATCCGCGTGAAGATTCAGCTAGAGAGGACAATAAGATCAAATATTTCTCTCTCTACCGAACCCCCCAATGTGAGGCAGCCATCATTTGGTATTTGAATAAATGGGGCGGTGTCCCTTAGTCAGGGGTCCTCATCTTGGGATGGTGGATCAGCAAAAAGGCCAAGCATGCCAAAGGCTTGGGAGATTGGGACAATTTGATCTAGTCTCATCCCTCGCGTAGGATAGGTGATTGTCATTGGAGCGTTCGTAGTTCGTTCCTAGTTTGAACCGAGGACCACAAATCAGCCTCGCTGAAAGGGCTGAAAAGCATGAGGATGACGATGGCGAAGCTTGACGGATCATCCGGCCATTCCGCCAGTCTAGGCTGGAAACGGCAAAAAAGGTGCATCACCTCTACAATTTAGCACCATCTCGCAGCTGAGAGTGGGGTTCTGAATTTTTTTTCTGTGATGACCTGTGTACAACAAAGATATTGTTATTCTGGAAAGGTTATCATGCTGTCAGCTCAATCTATGTTGGTCTTAATGGTATGTGAGGTTCAGCTTCTGGCAGCCATGATATTTTGAGTTTTCTCACCTGCAGCTGTGAGACAACGTCTGCTTGCCAGCCTTGGATAAGGCTCAGCACGCATAAACTAATATTGTTGGTCCAAGGTAGTTTTATGCAATGAACATAGGGAAACTCGGAGAACTCGGTATAATAATCTTGCTGCCTGATGGATCGTTTGTAGATGTGACAATAAAATAGAAAAGGGTCCCATATTCTCAAAATATGGGTATTCTGGGTTCCACTTTCGGGGCTCGGACTGGTTCGATCTTTTTTTCCAATCTCAGATGGTGATGTTTATATTCCGGTCATGGAAGTGTCCTTCTGCCAAGCTTTGAACTACCTGCGCCACGATTGTGGGAAATGGACTTGAAGGTGAGGCCCTGCTTTTCATTGAACTTGTGTTGCTGAAAGTTTCTAAAATGTCCTCCGCTATTGTTTGATCACATGGATGCCTGTCTCATATTCCATTAGAGCCTTGGAACGGCGAATGAGAGATAAAACACGACTGATTGTCAACTTACTGTCGGCAATCTCTACTCCTTGATTGTCCATGTGTCCTTCCTGCCAACGACAGAAGATTCGTGAGATTGAGATGGCCATCGACCCTATTAGGATATATTGAACTGAATGCCTAGTTAGAGCAGAGTTTCCAAGTATGTTTCCTTGTTACCTTCAAAAAGGGGATATACTTGGACAGTCGATAACCACGGCGCCTCTGGTAAGGTAATGGAAAGGTAGATGTCATCCGCACCTCATGGTTATCATTAGACTCCAGGCAGACATTCCCGTCTGCCGTCTCTTATATCGTCTTGAATCTACCAGGTACCTTAGCGTCACTCAAATTTGTTCTTTTTCCGAGGATTCAATCTACGTTGTATCCAATCTATGCCCGATCTATTGGAAAACATTGTCTTCTATCAATCCGTTTATTAGCAATCGGGTTTGTTTTCGAATATACCGCCTAATCTGGACATTCCACCTACATTACAATTTGAACACTGTATCTATTGTAGGAGCTGTCTTAGAATCTACCGGAAAGTCGGATATTGGTGCATCTGTCATCGGCCTGCCAGCAATATATTGTTGGTTCTATCCTCGGACTTGAGAACTTAACATTTAGTCCTCTTCGTATTGTTTATTGAATTTAGCATCATATTTACATATACTCTTGTAATCGACTCTATCCTCCTGAATTTGTCTCTATATCATTGCAATTGCCATCAAATCCAACAGGTGGTCTTTTAATCTCTCGAGTCTCGTGCCGAATTAGCAGCTCATCTGTCTGAAACTGAAGACATTGTCTAAAAGGAACCTACATCGGCATGTATTATCCATTCTCACCAAAGGGAGTCCTCGTCTACCATATCTTCTAGGTTCTAACCTTGTATCTATCCTTACAACCGCACTCGCATTGTTCTTTGACATTTCCGGAATTTGTCCCAAGGTTATCTCTTTCAACTTATTGCGAGATTTACCGCCGAATCTTCAGTTCAATTATGCTAAATTTCAGTTATATCTATGTATCACCCAATTTACAGCCGATATGGTGAGGTGGTAGGGAAATGTGTGACTTTCTTTCATTTAGGTCATTGACCAGCCGGGTATTGTACGGCAGGCCGGGTTCAAACTTCAGTATGTCCGTTCCATCAGAGATTGGCAAAACATACCCTGAAGGCATGAGCAGCCAGAAGCTTCTACGGATATCCGAGTCTAGGTGGATGGCACAGCGCAAGAAAAGCGATGAGTGGCTGTCGGGAATCAATGCTTATTTATCCTTAATTTTATGCTTTTCACTTCCTACTGCAGTGTCTATCGCGTGTGGGGAATGGCATTTGTGTTATCAGGCTTAGGCCTATGCAAAGTCCTCCCTGATCACAGTCTATTTTTCATTAGAATGGACTTCCCTCCGAACGAGGCCCCAGAGCCGCCAGTTGTATGCCTTAGGCTTTGCGTGATATGGTTGACCCGAGGGTCGCCTCCCGGGAAACCTAAAAGGGTAAGTAGCTCAAGTGGATTCGCCCGCTTCTCCACAATACCTTATCGAGGTTGTTTCTTCCCCGGAATGAGACATGACTAAGACCTCTGGAAGGTCACAAGGTTAGATTGCGTTCGGCATGAATGGGGATGAGCTTCGTAGATGTTTCATGCTGCAGATCTGAGTTGTGTAGTAAATGATTTTGGACAATATAACTGACAGGGATTACGCTCTTGAATCAACCTAAGTTAAGCGTATATAGTTCTGGGCAGTAATGGCGCCTCGGATTTAGACTCACAGAACAACCATTGTCTTGAGAACGATGATTGGAAAGTGAGATTAGATAGCAGATTAGATGAAACTCATCATCCTAGGATAAATTCAAAGTTTGGAAGTCATGGCAGATAAACAAGGTTGACCAATAACGAAGCCACGGCATAGGAGGTCCAGGGACCATCTCCTGCCACCTGTCCATCACTCTTGGAACATGATTGCGCCCTCTTATCCTGCATTCTAGTCTCTTACTTAGAGTTCTATTTGATGAATCGCCTAAATTGCTAATAAACCATCCCAGGGACGATCGCCCTGGAGTCCGAGACTCGTGACCACATCTGGCCCAGTGCAGTCTCCCCATAGAATCTTCTGCTGCATTGACTCTCCTTTCCAGAACTGTCCCGTGACCCAGACCGCAAAAGCTGTCCCATCTCCAGCGTTCTCGACCCAAATATTCTTAGAAAACATGGCGTTTCTTCCCGGTATCTTAAGTCATCTGGACCCGTCGGATTGTCTCCCGCCCGGATTACTCCATTAGGCAATCCGAGTCTTTCAACCTAATGGTGCCACGACCAAGAGTCTTCCAGTCACTCTGTTGTGGTCATTTAGCCTGTAGAAGCGAAACCAGATTGTCAGGTTTGGGGAACATGAGTATTGTATCATCGCTCCATCATGACTTTATCACCAGTTTGCTTTTTGCCTGGATTGTTCTGTTTGGGTTTCTCGATTCCTCCTACTCCGTACGTACCCTCAAGATATAGTTAAATAATAATACGCAGATCGGACACAACTGTTGACAGGAAGATTAAATGCGTACAATGGCTGTAAAGAGCGTTATAGAACCTGTCAAACTAAACCTAAGGTAACTATAACAATAATAACCTAAGGTGGTTTGTGCCACGGACATCAAGCAAATGACCAATTGGTGGAGCAGTAACGGCTCCTCTATCCCAGGCATAATTGCATTATTGCCCCCGGTGGCTCTGGACCGAATCCATCGTTCCTTCGACCAGACTCCCTCGCTGGCTTGCTTGTTGACATTCTCTCCAAGTAACAATAATGCTTGCCTCTTTTGGCCACTCATCCAAATTTAGACTGCTCACATGAGCTCTTTGGTTTGAGCGTAGGCTTGCAGAGTCGTAGTACTACCCACCTTTTTGTGGATTCGTCCCATCCGTAGGTTCACGATCGTGAAGTATTTAAGCTGTTGGGTGGCTGCTCATTAGATCAACCTGGCTTCGATTGTATTCTATCCAGCGTCTATTCTCCTTTCTCTCATCAAAATCAAGTCAATTGAACGACTACAACATCACACCTCTCCTTTCTCGCACTTCGATTACTGCTCGACTCCACAATCTACCCTAATCATAATGTCTGTCTCCATCACTGCCGATACTCCTGCCGTTCCTGCTACCAAACAGGCAGACGTCTCTCTGGGCTCCAAGGGTAGAATGCCAGAATTCAGTCTGGCTGGCAAGGTCGTCCTGGTCTCTGGTGCTGCTCGTGGCCTTGGTTTAACCCAGGCCGAAGCGCTCTTGGAGGCCGGTGCCAAAGTGTACGGATTGGATCGTCTGGAGGAGCCAGTGAGTAACCTTGGGCTTAAACCTTGCTCATGGCGCATCTTGTCTAACCATGCTGGTCGGTGATAGTCCGCCGAGTTCTTCGAGATTCAGAAGCGAGCCAAGGAGGAACTGGGCACGGAGTTGCACTACCGTCGCATTGATGTGCGCGACACGGAACTGTTGACCAGCACCGTTGAGCAAATCGCCGATGTCGAGGGCCGGATGGACGGCCTGATCGCGGCAGCAGGAATTCAACAGGAAACCCCGGCCCTAGAGTACACGGCCAAGGACGCGAACACCATGTTTGAGGTCAACGTGACGGGTGTGTTCATGACTGCCCAGGCAGTGGCCAAGCAGATGATTCGCTTTGGTAATGGTGGTAGCATTGCACTAATTGCGAGCATGAGTGGTACTGTCGCGAATCGGGTACGTTCCCATCAGTTCCTTTCCAGAGTGGGAAACGGGGATCCCCGGATTTCTGCCCTTCCCCGCTTCTGACTTATGTCACGCTTGGCCGTCAAAATCCCATTGCATGGCCTCTACTGTTCTCAACAGAACTAAAACAATGCTAACTTGACTAGGGTCTCATTTGTCCCGCGTACAATGCCAGCAAGGCCGCTGTCATCCAGCTCGGTCGCAATCTGGCCATGGAGTGGGGTCAACATGGCATTCGCGTCAACACCATCTCGCCGGGCTACATTGTCACGAAAATGGTCGAAGATTTGTTTATCCAGTTCCCGGAGCGCCGAGAAGAATGGCCCAAGCACAACATGCTGGGCCGTCTGTCTACTCCTAACGAATACCGGGGTGCCGCAGTCTTTCTCTTGAGTGACGCCAGCAGTTTCATGACAGGAAGCGATCTGCGCATCGACGGTGGCCACTGTGCGTGGTAATATTTGTTCGATGCTGTACTTTTCATTCTATTTTATTTTTTCTCCCGGACGGTCTTTGTTTCCCTAATGCTATTGCATGGCGTTTTGTGTTTGGGAAAGCAAGCGTGATCTGATTCGAGTTCAATGTTCTCGTCATGACGTCTGCCGTCTGCCATCTCTCCAGACTTTCGCATCGAGGGAGGGGAAAAGATGAACGGATAATGTATGGTTTACTTAGAATATTCGAGCGCTGCGACCAGCTAATACATGGATCATTCGATTCCTGTGCTTTGACAACCAACTGTACTCGAATTCCTGGCTGATCATGGTGGCCAGCAGGGAATACCAGCAACTAGAAAGTAAAGTTGCCTAAGGCCGCGTCACTAAGGTATTTTAGTCGGAGATCTGGCAGCACAATTCGATCACCACAGAATAATTACTGACAAGCAACGGAGCAAATCCGTTCGGCCTTTCTTCCGTCTTCTGATTTTTCCTTTGTTTCTTGCCAACTAGGTACCAGAGAGACACTCTCGACAACGGATTTGAATCCAGGGTAACGATGTGTACCGCGCAAGGCCAAATATATAGTGTACATTCCGAAACAATGTCATAGTTCACATTCACCTTCCTCTCCATACTCAATACAGAACCAACCTGTTAACGGTCGTGAATACCGGGGTCACTTTTCAACAACAACCCGTACCTTGAGAATAAGGACGTAAGCTACTGTATCCAACAGTGCATTAGACTACAATGAAAGGAATGCTCGTGTAAGGAAGTAGTATTCTAGGCAGCTACTAACCATAATACCAAAATGTTCCAATGATGATTCCCCTTGGATCATCAAGCCTAGAGCATGCTTCTATGCTTACATACCACCAACCCCCTAGGCCGTCTGCCCCATGACAGCTCGAATCACTGATGTAATTGATGATTTTAATTATATAAATGAATAATGCATAGAAAGGCTCAGTTCCCACCCTTCTTGGGATTCTTGCCGCGACCGCGGCGCTTCTTGGTCGTTGGCGGGTTGGTGGGCGGGGGAACGGGCGCCCGCCGAGGAAGTAGAGGGGGCGGACAGAAGGAATTGACAACCCCTCCGTAGACATTATACACCACCGACACTGGTGTCGCAACCGCCGAAGCGGCCGGGGCGGGGTGAGGTTGGTGGGCTGGAGGGCGGGCGGCCGGCGGCTGGCGGGTCGGGTGGGGGCAGTCGCCAAGATGGCGACGCCCGCAGGCGTAGGAGGAGGAGTTGGGGGGCCGAAGCCGCCGCAGGAGGTTCTTCAGATTCGATTTGTGGCCTATACAATGTTAGACATGCATTCATCCAATCGAAAAGTCATTATTGGGGCCAGCTCAACGTATATACTCACATTGCTTTTGCCCGAACAAAAAATGTTAAGATTTTTCGCGGCTGTTGCGCGCGTCCCTGAATATCCAAGCGACCATTTCGGCGGATTCTTGCATGTAGATTCGGGCGCCTTCGCTGTTTCTTTTTCGGAGATGAGCCTTGGTTTCCACAATTGCGAATGCTTCGTCGTTGGCCTTGAGTCCGTACAGATAACCATCTGTGTGGGCCTCCATGCTGGCTAGAGCGAACTGGACCTTGAACGGGAAACGTCGTATACCCCAATGACGCTTGACTTCGGGGAGATTCACGGTTACCGCGTCGAGAAATGTTATCAGAGCCTGATTGACATATTGCTCGTCGGTAGTTCGTTCAAATGTCTGCCCTTCCTGGTCAGCCGCTGGTGTCCCACTTAAGTCAGTTGGCGCTGAGCTGCTTTCGGTGGGCGTTCGGCTCGGCCCCGGCTCAGCCGCTGGTGTTTGACTCTGACTTGGGTTGCTTTGCTCCGAGCTGCTTTTGACGGACGGTTGGCTCCCCCGGGATCCATCGGCCGATGTTGCCGGGCCGGGCGTTGGAGTTGGACTCATCCTAATGCAGGTCGACATTGGGTCTGTTGATCCATTTGTTGGAACCTGATTGTCGACTTGCATTTGATACTTTCTGACGAGCTGAAATACTCCCGTCACGTCCGAAGGCCCCGAGTTTCTTGTGATACCCCTCAGGTAGCTTTCGAAGGACTGGTTGAACGCTTTGTTCTTTTTGAAGACCTTCGCCATTTCTTGGCTATCCTCCCTTTCCTTCTTACCATAGAAATGTTTCGGATTTTTGCGTTCTGGCCAAATAACGCGGAATGAAAGGAACTGCTGGACTGTGACCGAGGAACCAGACTGCATCACTTGGATCGTGTTGACTGTCTCCTTTATTGCTCCGTGAGTCTTTGCTAAAGTGCGCCAGTGAGTTTTGTCTCTTGGGATGAACACGCATTCGGGCATGATCGTTTCTAGGAAGGCGAATGTCAATGAATTCTTTTCGAAAAAAAAAAGGAACTTGGACTCTATTGTAGAAACGTATCGTGTGCTGCCAGAATTGCGAGTGCATGGAGGAGAGAATCAAGGCCAGCGATATTCGAGGGTAATGAACAGCTCTCCATCACACGAGTCTCCAGGAAACTGCTAACTGAAGGAAGGTGCGTAGCTACATACATGTCGCCGAATAGATGTCTACCTTCCATTCCGGGAATCCTAGGGCAAAGCAAGAAGAAAGAAACATCAGACTGGCAAGCAAAATGGGCAGGAGCAATTCGATAGATCAGTGAAGCAGGAATAAGCTCCAAAGGCCTCTCTTCCATTCTACCTTACCTGATACAGAGAGTATTTGAGGTAAGCCCAATCGGCATGCTAGCTAGGTAACGCACAAACAGTGACGTCGGTGCTGTTTCTTTATTTTCAAAGCTCATAAGAGGGGAGTACTGCAACACCAACTTTTCCCCATCGTGATGAGCTTGGATAATTCTCGCATCTTTAGGACATATAAAGGATACTACCAACATCTGTCTGTACAATTAGAAGGGCCGGGGATCAGTAAAGAAGAGGCGTAGACTCACAGGACACATTGCGTGGTGTTGAAATTCTCTGAGACTATACCACTGACACATATTACTAATGAGCCCACAGACTTCGCCATGAGTGAGGCCTGTGTCGTTCGCACAATATTGAACTTCAAGTTGGATAATTGCATGGGGCGTTCCACCGGATTTGTCGAAGTAGGTATAGCTTGTGAAACAGTAGCCCTCCCCAACCTTGCCGACCCACCCCACGGTCCCCGCATCTATGAGTGTTGGTAGGTTGGTGGAGCATGTATCGATTCGGGGAATGATGTCCCTCTGCCTCATCAACAAAGAGGATCACCTGTGGTAACCCATTCACACAAGACCGCAGTGGTGTGAGATCGTCCAAAGCTCCTAGCCCGTGGGGGGCATGAATTCCGTAGCGAGGGGCGTCCACACAGGTCTCAATGTGGTCCTGGAGATCTTCTAACTTTTCGCGCCAATCATCCTCGTCCTCCGAGCCTTCGGTTGGGTTCTCCTCAGGACTCTCACCACAGAAGAGTGGGCCGTCACGGTCACGCTCAAGATCGGATACATATTCCTCCTCGATTAACGGATGTTCCGAAAACACCGATGTAGGCTGGGGCAGGAAAAAGCATGGCTCAAATTGTAAAAGCTCCGTATCTGGTGCTAATTCAACCCTGACTGCTTCCAAACCCCGCTCACAGAGCTCGTCAATCCCAAAGTTTGTCCTAGTTTTGACGGAGCTGAGGACTTGATAGAGCTGCTGAAGCTGGTTGATAACAGCGGACCGTTTGGCCTTCAAGGCCTCTTTACTCATATCACGACGAGTCATGGCATGAGTGAACCACGAGCAACAGCTTTTAGAAAACAAAGTAATCAACTTGTGAACATGAGATGTAAGTAGGGAGCTCATATATATATACATCCACGTATCCATGAGTTAAAATGATGTCAACTGAGGCATATGTATTACGATGCGCTGATCTCAATTTTTCCACTGATGAGCTCATCGACAGAAGTTTTCAAGATTTCAAAGAACACAGATTTTGAGACTCAGAGTTATATGCCTATGTCGATGCCAAACTTGCTGCAGCGACCTGCTCTCTATACTTCTTAACCAAAGGGGTTGCTCCTATCTGTGTTGCTCAAATGTTGTGATTTATTTTCTTAGAGTAGAAGAGTGTTGCTTCATAGGTCATCAAGTATATCTGAAATGGAGAGTATTGTTGCATGTTTGTTACGTATATGCGCAACTTCCTGTGCCTAAGTGGAAGATAGAAGCTTCTGTAGTTCCTCCATCTTCACTCATCCCTTCTACTACTTACTTTTCGTCCACACCAGCAATTACAACAGTAACATGTGTTTTTCAAATTGCCACCTTTAGTGTCTTTTTGAATGCTACCTACAAGGTGAGTACATAACGTTAAGCAGAATGATCATGCTCACCCCAGGCTAAGCCCCAGCCACATCGTTACGCGGTACCTAATGGTGCATGTCGTGCTTTAGAACGGTGGCTGAAAATTGGGATTCAAATGACAGCGTCCTGATCATCAGGTGGTACGCTGGTTTCCTTGATCTGATCCTAAACTGGACTGCCACCATGCATATTGAATTTGAAGTGACGGAAGCTCCTCTAGATCTGTTCGATACCATTGCGACTATAGAGCAGGCTCGCTGATGCCACCATGGAATAACAGGCAACACGAAGTCTCAGAAGGCACGTTGATTTGTCGTACCGGGGGCCTTCTGAGACTTCTTTGCTAATGCTTAGTTGACCGCGGTAGGACGTTCGGAATTGGGCCGCATCCGATACATCCATTCCGGCGCATGTGTGCATGAATGGGCGGGCTACTGGTCAGCGATGTCCGGAAAGTAGTGCCAACAAGCAGAGGAGGATGGATCAGGGTTTTTGAAATGGTATGTCAGTTTACGGTGAGTCCTTGCTGGTGAGAAACAGCTTTGTGCAGCATCCCACCCTCCCCCTTCCTTACTCCCCGGACCCGGGTGTATCATCGACCTCTGTTCTCGCTGAGTACAAACCCCAACCAGCAGATGGTATGCCGAATGTTTTACTTCCTATCAATGCATGCAGATAAGCACACTAATAACAACAGAAGTCCGCCCGTGTCCACGTTGCTCCCATCAAAGTCAAACCCTTTACCCCAAGCAGTTGATCCAAACCACTGAACTCGATCTGCGAGAAGATGTGGGGAGTGAGCCTGCTATTTCCAGCAGTTGGTCCAAGAGACTGAACTTGTTCTACGAAATGCAGCAAGGATCCTGTTCTCCGGTGACGAGCTCACACCTCATCGTGGTGCTGGAGTCTAGTAACCTGTGCCTTTAAAAAGGTACAGGTGAAGCTAAGATGAGCTCTTTCTCTCCTTCGCTGGCCGAAGCTGTATCCCGCGTTGAGGGTGAGCCTAGGGCACAGATACTAGAGTAGGTGAGCTGCTCACGAACACGGCTGGTGTTATGGAGAAAGCTAATATATGCCAATGGACATTGGTATTAGTGCGGCTGGCCGCGGATTCGATAGACCTCAATAACGACATGAACGTGGACTACCAATACTTCCTCAGTCTGTGTTAGTACAAGTAGATCGGGCAAGCTACCAGGATCCATCTGATTCTTATCACTGATCAGGAAGATACGTTGTCTCCCGTCTCGGCGCCTGCAGCGTCCACAGGTCTTGGCAATTCGTCGTCATATGCTACGGGCCTGCTACTGCACTTTCGAGCCCCTGTGCTACGCCAGAATGTCAAATACAGGCTCCATCTTACAAGCGACCCGATGACCGCCCCTTTCCTTGCCAAGGGTGTGGCGTCTGGCTAGACAAGATGAGGACATCTGGATGTTGCCATCCTATTCACATGAGTTGCGTTTTATACTAAGGAATCAGTCTGAAACAGCCATGTCCGAACTCCGAACCTCCGGGCGCGGTCAGATCTGAATCATCTGATGACCTAACTTCAAGATACGATTGCTGCACTCAAACATCAGCTACGTTGCTGGAATCTCTACGCCATTAGAACATCTTAAATGGTAATTGCAGATTGCCTCCGAATTCGACAAAGCGATTTGTGATGGGCCAGGCCATCGCCACGGTCCTGATAAAAACTCCCACATCGGTTCCAGGACTGGTAGGGATGCAGCAGTTGACTCTGTAGCATCAGGTGTTAGTGGAAAGGTCTCCTTAGTCTCTATATGTATACAAGGCAGAGCAATTACCATTATACTCCATCGCATAAACAGCACTACTCCTTCTACTCGCGTACATTCGCGTGTAATTCGCCCATGGCGAATCACGCATAACCTTCATTCGTTAATGAATCAGGCAGTTATCCACATATTAATCCACATCGCTAGGCCAGTGAGTCCCAATAGTATCAGTTCATGACCAATCGCTTTGTCTTTGTCTTGTCTTGGTATCCGTGGACTACTGACCATGAACCCTTTCTCGGAAACAAGGTCACAAGTCCCCCTGAATCAGGCAGTGCGGATCAATTTTGAAATAGTAGCAGCCCGTGGTTATCCATCTTCCAAGGACCCATCCACGATGAGCATATGGCGACAGTAGTTCCAAGCTGCTATCCGTGCGGTGCGCCTGCAGTATGCGGTCCAATATTGTCAGGGCAGGGCTCAATGGGGAGACATGGTTACAGGTAGTATCCGCTTCTCAAGATTCACTGGCTGCAGTGTCAGCTTCACTAGCAGGGCGGCCCTGTTTGGCATTAAGGTTGATAACCAAGATGCCGAACAGGGCCGTCCTGCGAGCATTGTAATTCCAGACCTTCTTGATGACAGCATTCTTCTCAACAGTCCTTTTGGCCTTCTTCTTGGCCTTGGTGGGGCGCTTTCTTCTAGTTTCTTTCTAGGCGGGCGGACATCACCGTTGATGCCGTAATTGTTCACCACACTTGGTCGCTGGTGGGCTGGGGGCTGGGCAAGGGGGCGGCAATTGCCGGCGCGGATGCCGGCGAAGATGCCGGCGCGGATGCCGGCGAAGATGCCGGCACCCATATTATGAGGCTGTAGGGGCTGAGATGGTGATGGTATTCACCTTGAAGGTGTAGTTATTAACTACTGATGATGGCTGGTGGGCTTGGGGCCGTGCGACGGAGGGGCCACGGCGGAAGCCTTGATTGGGGGTGTCCTATACCAATCTTAGACAGACATCGTCCTGAATCCAGTCTAAAGACTGTAATTGGGGCCAGAGTACCCTGGGTCACCAGGCATAAGCCTGAGGCCTTTTTCTAATGTTGTTGGCTGATGGTCCCCATCTGCGCCCTGCTACCATAACGAACAGCATTCCTGCGCGTCTGCTATCCTTAATTTGTCAGCAGAAGCAACCACCTTCTACTCCAAGGAAATAGATGACAGCATTGAGCAACATGGATAGTGAAGGACTAGGCTTCAAAGTCTTAGTTTGATTCCATTTGACCCAATACATCCAAATAGTCCCAGTGCGAGGTAGTATCAACTATGAGCTGTTTCCTCCAGGATGTTGGGTATCACCTTCTAGTTCATCAAGCAGAGCATTGTATCAGGTGTGGTAGCTGTAGTGCTTTCCTAGGATTCATCATTCATGTCCCGACTCCCGAGAATAAAAGAGTGTGCTACATAGCACCCGCTGCCCATCTCCTTTTCCTATTGCCCTTCAGAAACCTCACAATTTCTTGAACCACCTGTCACACCACAACAACATGAGTATATACCTTGAGCTGGCCCCAATAACGAATCTTTGGATTGACATCAGTATAGGACTCCTCCATCCTCCACGCCATCTCAGCAGTTGCCGCCGTCCTAGCCACCCTCCCGCCCGCAAGCCCCTGCGGTGTCCGGCTCCATCGGCGTCTTCTGCGACCGCTGGCATCTCACTAGCAAATACCGCCGTCCTGCCCGGCCCCACAAGATAATAAAAGAAGTATATTAATTCGACCTTCACGAGAAGCACTTGAAGGGTGGTAATACTAGTACTCAGATATAGAGCGGCAAATAGTGGCAAGCGTGTCAAATCCCACATAGGGGCATGCTGGTCCCGGGCCCCAATGTGGGCGCCAGCAGCATCCACCAAGTTTCCTGCAACGTCTACCAGTATGATGTAAGTATATCCTGTCCTCAATCAATAAACAAGACAATTCGCAGAGCCACACCTTGCTAACAAAGGCAAAGGTGCAAATCAGAAACACTGTTGAGAAGAATGCTGTCATCAAGAAGGTCTAGAATTACAACCGGTCCACGAACAACGCGGCGAACTCAACCGTCAACCCTTCCTAAACAATGACTTATTCAACGAAGGTGATAACTGCTCAGCATACTTCTTTACCTCGTCTGACTAAATATGATCCACCTGACTGACGCCAGCATCTGCAGTGTCTACCTGCAAAGATGATGTCTGCATAACAGCTTAAGTGTTGATTCGGTCTTAATCCCACGAATATTGCCAAAGAGTACGCAGTATAGCCCGAGACAGTATGCTGAATATTTCTACTTCCTATTGACAAGAGATAAGCACACTAATAACAACAGATGTCTGGCTGTGTCCCCGTTGCCTCAATCAGACTGCCCGGCCAAACATTATCCGCCTACAACCCTACGACCACTGTCAACTGCCACTCTGTGCACCACCACTGCCTTACCTCCTTCTTCTTCAACTAAGTACAGCAAATACACCGCAGCAGGCCGATATGACAACTATAACTGGGCATGCCCCTAGGAGCACTATAACTTTCGGCTGGGTGACTATTAATACCCACTTTGCGGGGAGGGAATCATTTTTATCACTATAGCAGCGGCACTGCCACGGTTATGATTGAAGATACAGGACAAGCCAAAACACAGATGTAGGAAGAGACTGAAGGATAAGTAAGAAAACTGCAGGGAATTGACATGCTTTTATGTCTACGGTGGGTCCAAACGGACTCACTGTAGTCATACGACCAGGGTTACCTGAGCGAAGCAAGCGATGCTTACTACAGATCTTGTTGAATGATTCCCCCGGATCTGAGGATAATGGTGAGTGATGTTCATCCTGAGTCTCACGTTCCTCACCATTTGTTTGCATCCCGCACCCGTTCCTTGTTAGGGATTTTCGACACTACTTACGAGTGGTCAGGCACAGCTTGCTGCATCGTACATCTTCTTCTCCCCTTTCAGACGACGTCCTCTCAGCAATACGCAACTATATGCCAGAGTCTGCGGGAGTGGCCCGCTGCGGAGGGTGCCGTTCTGTGGCCAAGAAAATAAGTACGCGTACTCTCGCTCCTTCCGAACAACGAGAGGATGCCGAGCAGGACGACGTCCTTGCTGGCTATGAGGCCGTAGCGGAGGCGGCCTCTGTCAGTAAGAAGCTAGAGGGATACCTGATGTTGCTCGTAGACAGGAGCAGACGCGCTTAAACGTGAATGAGCTGTCCGATCTTGGCCAACACCTTAATCGTCTGACGTTGGCGAAGATGCCATGTAAGTCGAAAACGAGCACCCTAGAGACCGAGGTGACTTGCTGACTCGTTTGCTGCCTTTTGACGTTAGAGGAGAGCCCGGCCTGTATGCCCAGCAGAAAATACCGATCATCGTGTGCAGTAGAACTAGCAATACTTCCGTTTGACTGTTCGCCCTACAAAGCCCATCAACCACTCCTAGATTACTAGACGCACCTCTATGTCAGAGGCAGTCCTTAAGACTGTACGCAAGTACCCCATTCATCCGACCTGCAATGTGTTCAGTGACTAATAGCCACAGACACCCTCAGCATCCAAGCAGCAAATTCCTCGCTATTCTCACTCCTTCGATCCCAACGGGCAAAATCAAGATCTCAAAAACAATCTTCTTTGGTGCCTTTTCGGGCCCAATACAATTTGCATACGTACGCTCACCCCCATAGCAGGTCTTTGGATTGACATCAACAAGACCTCAAACCATCGAACAAGACTCCTGGTGCCGCCGCTGACCCGCCTGCCACCAAGGGTGGTGAATAATTACACCTTCAACAGCGATGGCCATGCAAACGACATCCTCTTGTCTGACAAGAAGCCAAGAAGAAGAAAGCGGCCCAACAAGGCCAAAAAGAAGGAGGGAAAGGAGAAGAGAAGAAAAACCTGTGGAGGAAACCAACAAGGAGTCAAGGACGCCAACATAAGCTTAAACTGAGCTATAGTATATATTATCTATGTATATCTTATACGTATATTGACATTCGGTTTTGTGCCTCGCCCGTTACCACCAGTTCAGCTGATGTTTCGTGATTTGGACAAGCAGAGAGTTCAATTCATTCCACAAAAGTCCGCCGCCATCCCAACTGATGATGATCATCACTAGCTAGAGATGAAATGGCAGTGAAGAAGGTGTACAGTTCTCCATAACAATTGAGGTCCCGCAAGTAAAGAATACTATGCACTTAGTTTCCAGGCATCCCTGACTACAGTATCAACAACACGTCGGAGCCCACATTCCCCACAGAAGGGCCAGCAATCACCCGTGTGGTAAATTAGTACATTCAAGCCCTCCTGGCCACCTTGTTCGTGCTCTTCCTACGGCTGCGTTTCGACTTGTCCCACATCTCATTCGTAACGGTGGCGGTGCAGCCGCTCAAGTACCAAATAGGATTTCCACACACCGTAGTCAACCCCACGGAAGTTGTGTTGCTCCCACGGCCAGGTCAAGTAGTAGTAGTGGTAGTAGTGTGTCTCACGGCGGTCGACAGAGGTCGTAACGAACAACGATTGGCCGGGTGACCGGTCAGATTGAGGCAACAGGGACACAGCCGGACAGCTGTTATTATTAGTGTGCTTATCTTCATGCATTAATAGGAAGTAAACTGTTAAGCATACCATCTGCTGGTTGGGGTTTGCACTCAGTGAGAACAGAGGCCGATGAGGGATCCAAGGGGCGGGGGAAGGAAGGGGGAGTGGTGCTGCACAAAGCTGTTGGCACCATTTTCCCGCACTATGCGCTATTTAATATGACAGTAGTTCAACTTCGCTTACTACTTAGCAAGGCAAGCTCATTGAGGGCACATTTTGATCAAGACAGTATAGAGAGTAAGTCGCTTCTAGATGTTCAGCATCTACGTAGATATGTAACCTTACCAGCGGGGCTGACATCCACCCAAATTGTATAATCAACAACACAAGCGTCTCACAGACCGAGTTTACCAGAAACGATTGACTTCCAGGTTAGGAAATTCTTTTGGGATCAGCTAGGAAACACCGAGCTGGATAGCCAGCATACGCAATCATGATCGATTCAGACATGCAGTCAGGCAATACTGCCAGACGCGCTATGGAGAGAAGATGTTTATATGCACGAAAATGAAGAACATTATCGATGCAACGGACGAAGTATCTAGCTAATTGAGAAAGGTGACATTGCATCACAATGCCTCCCGGTATCAAGGCCACTTTTCGATGACAACTCATACGTTGAGGACTACGTACGCTATTGTATCCAACAGTGACTGCAATGAAAGGAATACTCAACTGATTCGATTGACGGAAATTACTATATACAGAATAATATATATATGGTTAATAATAAGCACACTCAGAGCTGGGCTTGTCGCCCTCTTCGGCCGCCTCCACCTCCTTCTCCCCCTCGTCCTTTCTCTTGGCCTTGTCCGGCCGCCTTCTCCTTTTTGGCTTTTTGCCAGGCGGGGGGCGTCGCCTGCAGATATGGGGTGAGCGGATATGATGATGGAATGTCCATCACCATTGATGGTGATATTGTTCACCATGGTTGGTGCCTGGCCTTGGCGGCGTGGCTGGCGGCGGGAGGCAGGGCGACAGGGCTTGTCGGCTGGATGCCGGCGCCCGCAAGTCCCAGACAGGGGACTGCTGGCCCCTGTGTGGGACTTGCCACAGATGTGACAAAGTTTGCGCTCTATATCCAGGTTTAGAATTAACACTCTTCAGATGCTTCTTCATAAAGGTTGAACCAATATACTGACTGTTGGTGGCGGGGGCAGGCGGGTCAGCGGTGGGAGGAGGAGGAGCGGTGGCCGCGGCGGCGCCTGGTGGTGGCCCTGGTGGGCAGGTTGGCGGGCGGGGGACGGTGCCCGCGGCCCGCCGAGGAAGTAGAGGGGTGCGGACAGAAGAAATTGACAACACCCCCCCCCCCCCCCCGGCCGTAAACATTATACACCACCGAAACTGGTGTCGAAACCGCCGAAGCGGCTGGCGGCTGGCGGGCCGGGGTGGGGGCAGTCGCCAAGATGGCGACACCCGCAGGCGTCACAAAGGGGCCAGCAATCCCCAGTGTGGTATTTACCACACCCGCATCTTTTCTGCTCTATATCTATATTAGCATTGCCACTAGATGCTTCTCATGAAGGTTGAATGGATATACTGACTCTTGGAAAGAGGTAGCCTATAGAGGTGGCCTATACGATGTTAGACATGCATTCATCCAATCAAAAGGTCATTATTGGGGCCAGTTCAACGTATGTACTCACATTTTGCTTTGTTCAAAGGTTATGAAAAAAAATGCTAAGTTTTTTGTGTAGTGAGATGGAAATAGAGGCCATAATGAGGAATGGAGAGATGAGAGAGTGAGAGAGAGAGAGGGGGGGGGAAGAGTAGAGAAGATGGGTACTGCTCGAGCTACGTAGGACAACCACAGGAAGGTGCGCATTCACGTAACAAACAGGCAACAATGCTCATTTCAGGAATACTTGACTGCCTTAGGAAGGAACGCCCGTGTATTCCAAGAAAGTGAATGATGAAATCTGAGCTACATGGATAGAGGCAATTCGAGTCCTTACGGAGCACGCTTCGAAGACTCGGCGATTCCATTCTACCTGATACGGAGGGTAAATAAATCAAATACTCCAACAACACGGACGTAGGCTGGGGCAGGGAAAAAGCACGGCGCTAATTCAACCCTTGTGGGTTCAAATATAGCTCGCGGAGCTCAATGTCACAGTGGGAGTTCTGACAGATCCGAGGGCATGCTGGAGCTGCTAAATGTGGTTGATAATGGTGGACTGTTTGGTCTCCATGACCTCTTTTTATCGTATCGCGAGTCATGGATTCAGTGGCATCTGACGAAAGTCAACTTGTCTCGTAGAAATCGACGAGGGCTTTGAATCTCCAGCAAGGGAGGGTCCTTATTGTGCACCAGAGAAGTGATGCCAGTATATGCGAATATCGATTTTCATTTACAACTCGTTGACAGTACTGCCTCACTTCCTCGGCTCAGCCCTCTGTTAGAGAAGCCTTCGATATCATCAATTTGTAGCTTTTTTCTTCCCGGGTAGAACCACGTCCCATCTCAACTAATATGTCAAATTGCCGAGGGTGTGGGGTTACGGTTGACCTGCATCCTCGGAGAGGATCCGAGATGATGTTTTCAGAAATATGGAGAAGAACCAGAAGATTACGGCAACTATTTAAAGAGATGAATTGAACTCAATCGAGGTGCGGGGACAACTAGCACATTGAATTGTTTGTACGATCGTAACAATCCGACTGCCCGGCCTACTCGTCCTTGCATCCGACCTTGAGAATATAGAACACCATGGCGTCAAATCAGATCAACCGCAACAAAGTCTTTCCAGGAGGCATTCATGTCCCCTGTCTGACCTTCTTTCAGAATAACCCACGACAGGACATTGACTGGGACGTACAAGAGAAGCATCTCTCATTTCTTATCCAGTCCGGTCTCCACGGAAGTACGTCCATCTCCGTCATCCCCCAAACGATACAAGGCTACAACCTAACAACTTCAACAGTCGTCCTCGCCGGCTCCAACGGCGAAGCAGTCACACTCTCAACCGCCGAAAAAACCTCACTCGTCCAACTGACTCGCAAGCTCGCAGCCCGCCTCAACCGCCCAGACGTAACCATCACTCTCGGCTGTGGGGGCCAATCCACCCACCATGTCATCGATGAGGCCATCGCAGCTCATCAAGCCGGCGCCGATTTCGCCATGGTCCTAGTACCGAGCTACTACCACTTCGCCATGGACTCCGCCGCCATCGTGTCCTTCTTCGAAGAAGTCGCGGACCACAGCCCCATTCCCGTCATGGTGTACAATTACCCCGGTGTAGCAGCGGGGCTGGACGTCGACTCTGACATGCTGGGGAAGCTGAGCGCGCATCCGAATATCTCGGGGGCCAAATTGACGTGTGGAGGTATTGGGAAGGTCCCCCGTGTGACGGCCAATGCGGCGAGACCGTTCAGCGTGCTCGGTGGGCAGATTGACTGGATGGGGCCGGCGATGGCGGTTGGTGCTGTTGGAGCGATTACGGGGATGGCGAACCTGTACCCGAGGGTGAGTATTCTGTCTTCAAATTTGTTTCCTCGCGCTGATAGTAAGCCGTGGCGTAGGCGTGTGTTGAGCTGTACGATCTCTACAAGGCCGCCGGTAAGGTCCAGGAAGCAACGGAGCTCCAGTTGAAGGCTGCCACGTCGGAATGGGCCTTTGCAAAGGGAGGAATCAACGGAAGCAAATGGGTCGTCGCCAAATTGCTGGGTTATCCCGATGACAGCGCCGCTTGTCGAAGACCATATCCTCTCTTCGCAGATACAGCCAAACAAGCATGGATACTTGAGCTAGCCGGCAAGCTGAAGCCAGTCGAGGAGGCGCTGATCAAACATGCAACATAGCAAGAATAGTATCTTTTTTATCGTACATAGCCCAATCAATCAGTTATACACATCAGATATAGTACAGACCATCCCTAACTCAGCATACACAAACCCAAACCCATGGACACCATCATCAACCAACCTCGCCTACAACCCCCTTCGCTCCCAACCGTCCCAAAACCCCCTTCTTCAACTTCAACATCCCCTCAATCTCCCCCAGACTCAAACCCTGCCGATCCCGCATCGTCAACGCCTGCCTAATCGTCCACGCATCCACAAACTCCCGCCCCGCAAACCCCGGCCGCCCAATCTGCTCCGCCTCCTCCTGCGCAGCCTTAGCAGCCGTCTGCCGCGCAGTGAGCACCAAAAGCGCCGGATTCGCCGCTGTCGGAAAGACGGGCTGGTTTTGATTTTGTGTTTGGGTAGGACCGGGGTTAAAGGTGCTCGTACGCGAGAAGGTAGGGTTGGGGGTGACGGGCCGATGGAGCGGAGGGAAGCGGCGAAGTCGGGGTCGCGGCCGTCGAGGTCGATGACTGGAATGTCGTTAGCTTGCTAGCTATCTTTCTTACCCTGGTGCCAGCGAGGTATGCGTACCCGCTGATTTTGTTGTGGAAGCTTGTTCCTTGGGAAGAGAGGGAGCTTGCGATTGAGCTTGGAGTGGCTGTGAGAGGTTTGGTTCGCGCGGAGGAACTTGTGGTGCCGTCCTGGACGCTGCGGAGGGCTGTTTGGGGTATTGGCGTCGGGAGACGGCGCTGGCGGCTGACCGCGCAGGTTTTGATGCGGAGGAGCCCATTTTTCCTCCTGGGATATACAGATGGTGACGTTCTGATGTTTCTCCAGTGTGAAGCTGAATTGGTAGAGGCGGAGAGCTTGCGGAGGTTCTTCAGAAAATCAAGACCCGCCGCACTAGCCCGTCTTGGTCAACGTTGTGGCCGCAGAAGTGACGTCAGGCCGCTGATTGTTATGATTATTTTTCGTTTTATAGCTGGAAGTCGAAGGTACCAAAAGTAACATTTTAGAGATCGAAGTAAGCTATGGTACAGTGTCGTTGTTTTTACGTGCGATGTAAAAGGATACAGACAGTATATCAGGGTTCAAGACCGGTCCTACTAGTACAAGCGCATCAGCTCATCTCCCGAGACTGACAGTATCCAGTACTATGTGCATCTATCTGAGACCTGCAAGGCGCCTGCCCTGCACTTCACCCAGAGCACGGCTGCCACTGATGAATGCGACGACACCGGCCGCAGCGACAGCTGGAAGGATCTGGAAGAGTGTCCAGTGGGAGTAGTAGAGGAAGAAGATCCATTCGATAGAAACCAGAGATCCCAGGAAAACGGCGTGGGGAACTGGAGCAGACTTAAAGGCAGTCGGCAGATGGTTGAGGTTGACGCCAACGAAGAGCCACTATACGAGTCAGGACATCGGCAACGTCGTTTGGAGGAAAAGACTCACCAGGCCACCGAGGATTGGAAATGCAGCCAGCACCATTCCAATGAAAACCAGAGTCACGATGACAGGCGGGCTCTGAGGATCAGACTTGAAGATATGGTGAATCTCGGGCAGTTTGCCATATCGCGAAACCTCGACGGTCGGTACTGGTTCGTCGGGATTGCGGGCCACTGTCAACGGGAAGGCAGGTTCATTATATGCCTGAGAGCTTCCAAACGATCCAATGACAAATCTGGCGTCCAGGGGTTCGGCGACGGAGAGGAATTGAAGGGGGAGGTCTTTTTGAGTCTAAGCACGCAGGCCACGTCAGCTGTTGAGAACCCAGTACACTCGACCTCTGCCTACCAGCTCAAGCCTTGCTTTGCCATTATCCTTGACCGTAAAGGGATACGAGACATCTAAGCCGGTTTTGGGATCTTGAAGTAGGAGGAAGACTTGGTGCGCTCGTTTGGCGGAGCCTCCTTCCTGTGCTGTGAGGATCACTTTAAGGGTATCGGAGCTTCCGAGCGCGACCGGTTTGGAGAGCGGCTTGTTGTCGGGGATTCTGCAATTGGTACCATCATTAGCATGTTAATTTCTTAAATAAAGTGTCAATGAATGAATGACTATACTTTTCCTTCAGTCCAGAACCGACACCCGCGCCTTTGGTTTGAACTGACACGGTGGCATCAGTAAACCCCCACAAGGATGTTGCTGCGGTCGGGATTGCTGCTGAAGCCAGCAGACAGAGCTGGAGAGCAGTATGCCAAAGCTGCATCCTGAGTCAAATAGTCAAAGAATAGAAACTAAAAAACAAAAAGACAAGTAGTGCAGTCGAGATGACAGAACAATGCAATGTTCTGGTGCAACTGCGGAGTCTTGAAGAATCGCGGAAGCGCTAAACAACGGACCTCCAGATAAGCGCCGGGATTCCATGATAGTCAGAGTTGGGGCATAGGCGGCCACCTGCTCCGCGCAAGCCCTAACTATTTCCCGGATTCCTGCAGTTCTGGCCGTCGGCCAAACACCTCATTCTCTCCTCGACCAGCTTCCTGCTGTCAACGTCCCTGCAGCGTCGCTGTGACATCGTCGATCGCCTCGATTATCGCTTCGGTAGTGTTCGAGCATGTCGTTTCCTGCAGATACCTAATTACGGGAACCTTTTTGCGCCGGCAAATCGATCGACCTGAACCTGTCCAACTCCTCGCCTCCGCTGCACCGACAGGTAGCCACCGTCATTACCTGCCTTTCCATCCTATTTCTACATCATCCTACTATCGATATCGATACTACAAGGTCACAAATATTTGGAGATAAGGTGTGCTGGTATGTAAACATCCTGTTTGCCGCTATTCAAACAGGCCGGTCGTTGCGGAGTGGCACTCTGCAGGGATTGCTGCTACGACTCGTCTGCCTGTGGTTTGCTCTCATCTTGGACACATTCACTGACTGTTCACTTTGCATCAGGTGCTAGCGTTGTCGAAAAACACATCGAAAAACACAACACATCCTTTCCGCGTCTCGAGACATTCGAATCTCCCTCCTTTCCTTTCCTAATCCCAACTGCTACTACCGCATTCTCCACATACTTCTCCAAGTTTCGAAACACTTTACATCAGACCTATTCGAGTACCTGGATCTGGATATTTGCTCAATATCTCTTGGCAAAGTCAAAAGTAAGTGGCAAACATCGAGTGTTGGCATGTCTGGCGCTGTGTTCCTCGAATCGACGCTCTCAACTAGGGCTTCAACACAATTCTTTCATTCCTCTGACCAACGACTAACCCAGATATAGTGGCTAAAAGAGATTCTGTTCCCCGCGACATGATGTCTCTGAGCACTGTTTTTGATAGAACTCCTGTACGTGTCTTACCATTTCCGTCTTTTCCATCTCTAACCGTTTTCCAGAAAACGAACTCTCGACGTAGCTCTTCTCATCACTCACGTAAATCAACAAGAGAGCCAGAGTCGACTAAGATTAAGATGGCTCAGACCTCTTACTCACTACCTCCGACCCCTATCGCCTCTTCTTTTGAAGAATCCGCGCCATCGACGAAGCGTCGTAAATCCCAACGTCCAGTTGATCTCAAGGACTCCCAGCCAGAGAAGATCACCAAGACTCCGGTGCAAAAGAAAGACGATGTTCCTGCTTCAGAGTCAAAAAGTGACGCCAAAGGTGGCAGCCGCAATCGGAAGTCAGGCAAGCCAAACGGTCACGCCGCTGATGCAGGTGACTCGCAAGACCATCAACTGACAACTCCTACTACTTCCAATGCTAAGCGCAAGGCGCAAGCTCCGCCGTCTAAGTCAAACTTGCGCGCCTCTCATAAAGATCCTCAGGTGAATCGCAAGTCTCTGGATACCGAGGCGGAGCTGGCCAACGCATCCAGAGACAAATCCGGCTCGAAGTCGTCGACCATGGCTCCTGCAACAACGCAGAACGATCGCAAGGCAAGAAAGTCCATGCCTGCGAAGCTCAACGGTGTGAGCGACAAGAAAGACACTGTCCATCCTAAGTCCTCTGTCAAACCCTCCGCTTCTCGCCCTTCTACTCCGGCTCGCATTGATCGTAAAGCCAAGCCAACATCTCAAGCCAGCGCCAAGGCGACCAAGTCTGCCAACAAGGTGGCTCAAGTTACATCAGCCAAACCCGCTACCCCCGTTGCCCCCAAGACCGAAAAAGCTGAAACAGCCGACTCAACAACTCCCGCCGCTCAGGCTAACACAAATTCACGCGACTCTACTGCCAGATCCCGTCGTCGTCATCGCAAGTCCAAGACCGGGACCGATCGCAACCTCGGGAATCATATCCAAGAGTCGTCGACCAAGCACAATCACAATCATCCTGTCCAAATTCACGAGACTCCATCTCAGCCTCCCTCTATCCCGGATCCTACCCTCGAAGCAGCTCAACCTCTTTCTCACAACATAAACACTCGAAGCTCGCGAGCCAAAACCGCCGCTAAACTTCTGGCTGTCGATAAGCCTCTGGAGTCACCAGCGACCCTGATGGTTCTTAAGACCACCCCATACAATGGGGAGGTCGCCGACAGCGTCGAGGGGACGCCTGTGCAAGCCTACCGTGACAACTTCCATTTCGAATATGGCCCTGAGATGTATGGTAACCGCTTCGGCCTCGACGGCGAGGTGGATGGCCCGGGCTCACCGACGAGTCTATCCACGGGCACGTCCGCTGCTGCGAGGACCTCGAGTCGCATTCGGAAGCCCACCGTCAAGGCTCTGGAGTCCCTGGAGTCGGAGCGGCAGTTCCACCGCTCCAGGGCTCCATCCAGCAAACCCGAGTCGACGGCGGGTCTGGGGCAGAAGAAGGGAGGCGCGGCCCAGCCTGAGCATCAGGTTCCGGCATCCGCGCAGGCGTCTGCCGCTCAGCAGCCTGACACGGCGTTTATTGCCAGACGGCTGCTTGAGCTGGCGGTGGCGGCTGTGTCTGCAGACCCTGCGCTGGATGCCGGGCTTGATGCCAGGCTGGAGAGCCTGCGCAGAGAGTTCGAAGCGGAGCAGCGGGGCAAGAGGGAGAGGGGCGGGGTCGGAGGGAGAAAGTAGGCCAACCTCGAGCCTGCCATTTGGTATGGACAAGACGAAAGTATCGGAGCCGTGGACTGACGAGGATGGTTGGACGCATACAGGTCTTCTCAACAAGTTTGGGGAGGAGTACGTCTTCGTCTCTTCCGACTACGAGTGGGTTCATCCCACCAATACCTATGGGGATAACCAGCTCCCCCAGCCGCCGGGGCGATTCAGATCGCGCGAACAGGCGGAGAAGGACCGGATCTTCGGGTACCCGCCGCGGCTGGGGGAGCGTAATCTCCCGCAGCAAATGAATCTCCCTTTTCGACTGGAGGACGTTGACGAGGAAAAGGCTAAGGTCAAAGCACGAGACGCTGCCCGGCTGAGGGGCATCCCGGTTGATCGGACGATGTCTGCCGCGGAGATTGAGGCCTTGATCGCGCAGCATGACAACGCTGGGCAGAGTGAGCCCGCGAAGGAGGGGAAGCCTGCCAGTGGTTCGCGCAAGAGAAGGCGCACGGAGCCCGTCAATGCTACCCCTGACCCGACTTCGGGGATCAAGAGACGGCGACAGAATCCGAGTGTTCCAAGTCCCGCTGCCGCCGCCGCTGGCGCCACTGCCGAGAAGCCAAGTCTTACGGTGAAGTTCAAGTTCTCCAACCCCGCGAAAGCGGCGGCCGTGGCAAGGCTTTTTGGGGCAATGCCATCCAGCCCATCAAAGAAACGTCTTCTCGCCGACGCGGAGACGGATGGTGACGCCAGTTCCCCTAAGAGACGCAAGCCATCGCCAGAGACAGCCAGTCCTGCCGATCAGAACCAGACACCCAATGGTCGTCCGCGGCGCCGTGCGGCAACGGCTCTTATGGCCGATTTTCAGTCTCACGCCGAGGAGAGGGCGCGTCGGGCCGCCCGAAAGAAGGCCGCCACTCCTTCGAAACAGGGAGGCGGGGTGCCGAGGGTGTGCCCATGAAAAGCGCATGATTCGGCTACTGTTGGTATCTGTTCACTTGCATTCTACCTCGCCTTCTACGCACCTTACTTCTACTTCGAATTGCGCTTACCTCACTGGCCTCTGCTTTCTCTCGATCGCCTTCCTCAATCGCCTTCCTCGTCACGCCTCCAGTTGATTCAACTCCGCCTCACATCACTTTGGCATCTCAAAGCTTGATTATCTGTTGAGTTGATACCGCTTGGCCTATCTCTTACTGGGTCTTTACCTCACTTCACCTGGGGCGAAGTCTACCTCGTGCCTGCTATTTGAAGTCAATCTACTAGCCACTTACATGTCCATCATCTGATTATTTCTTACTATCACTATCCTCTTCCCTCACTCGCCATAACGACTGCACATACAATTAGTCCTGATTGAGTTCTGATTCTTCGGCTACGTCTATCTGCCTTTGGGGAGTGATCATCCAGCAAAATGATAGACGATCCGCGCGAGCAATCTATTCGCTCTCCATCCACCTTCATCTCCGTCTTGTCTCATTTCCCTGAGACTTAAGACTCAATTTCGTTGAACCTCTTTTGCTATGATTGGCACGAGGCAACATCATCTTTGCCTAATCTAATCACCCTGTTGTCGCACGGCGTTACGGGTTGAGTACATGCATCAAAGCATAGCGAAGCATTCGGTGGACTCTGGGCTCTTCTGTTCATTGGCGTTTTGTGATATTCTCATCGTTGCTCTTGTTGTTTCATTAAACTCTGTCAGGTGACTGGGCCGAGCTGGACGCTGCGGACCTCCCTAGACATTTCTATCATGTTCAAGCCATCAGCAGGAACCGACACGCTGCGTGTGAGGTGCCGTTGATGGCAACTGTATGTATCATTTCTTTCACCTGTACAATCATGGGGTTTGAGGCATATCGGATCCGGCGCAAGCAATGGGTCATGGATGCATAAGCAATTGATATTAGCGGATATGACTTTGAGAAATGTGCTTTTAACGGAATTACGATTTCGAGCAGACGACTTGATTTTGCCAGTGTACCCAAAGATGTCCCTGTTATGCGTAACAATTCCATCCTGCCTGAGGCATCAAGGCACCAAGGCAAACTTTTCCGACAACCGCAAATCCCGTCACGTCTCGTGGTCCTTGTCCTTGTAACAATCCATTTCCCTGCATCAACTTCCATTCATCTTGTCCTACTTCGTAGTACCTTATAAACCAACCAGAAAGTAAAACAATGGCAAACTCAACCTCCATCTCAAAACCCAGAGTCATCGTCGACCCGCAAACCCTCTCGCAGCGACGAACGACCCGCCCCCGGACCCAAGCCCAGATCACAGATATCCGGCAGACGAAGGAGTACAAAGTCGCCGCTAGACGGTAAGTTTTAGCCTGCTCTATTTCACTTTCGGTACTATACTGATGATGTGATGAAGGTGGTTGTCGACTATTGTGGCGTTGCCGATATTTCTGTATACGTCCTGGGTGTTGTATGATCGGAGTATGTGCTTTTCCTTCTTACCAGTATTGAGATTGAGCTGATGTTTGTAGCGTATGGGAATAGTCAACCCAAACGGTTGGGGAGGCAGTCTACGGAGGAGAAGGAGAAGGAGAAGGAGAAGGAATAGATTCTTTTAATAGGATTGTATATTAGAGTGTTGACGTTGATTTTCGTTCCTGTCTTGATGCGATAGATTGTACCAATCCAACTCCCCATCTCAACACCACAGATCCCTAGTATCAACGCGGCCATCGAGCGGCTGTCCTCCAGGTGACCGACAAAGGCAACGTAGCCTCCTCCCCGCTCCTCGGTTTCGGTTTCGTTCGCGGGTTCGACCTCGTGGATGGCAACGGGGCAGTCCGCACGAAGCTTTTCATCCTCATCCTCTTCATCTTCTTCGTCATCTTCATCTTCATCCATCTCCTCACTATCACCCATATATCCCTCCTCCTCCTCCTTCTCCTCCCCTCCCCTTCTCCCTCACCCTCAGTCTCAGATTGAATTTCATCCCATTCCTCAACAACCGTATCCGGCGTCTCAATCCACGGCCTCCGATGCCAAAGCGTCCACCGATTCATTCTCTCCCCCTCCCCAAACTCAACTTCACCATCTTCGCAACTCACCAACACTTTCTCCTGCCTCGGCACCCCCGCGGAAACACACCCCGCATATTGAACCACCGGCGGTAGTTCCTCGCCGCTAACATCCCCGGCATGTGTGTCTGTTGTTCCATGGCAACTCGCTGCCGTGATGGCCCTGCGATGGTCCAGTTCACCTGCATAAAGGCTGTAAAGGAAGTGGGGTATTTGGCAGCTGCGCGGGGGGAACTCGAAGGCGAAGATTAGGGAGTTTAGGTGTTGTGCTCCGCGGGTCTGTGTTTGAGGATGGAGAGGCGGGTTGGGAGGCCTTTCTATCATTCCTTCTCCGATTTCAATTGAGTTTGAGTTTGGGTGTGAGTGTGGGTTTGAGTTATTTTTGTTGTGACAAGGGGGTTAAGACAGGAACATTACTCCTCCGCGAGCATGATATCCCCCCGTCGTGACGATAAACCCCGCGATCTCGTCTGCGTGCTCGTCGACCAGCTCGTTCAGATCATACACGTTTGTGACGCAGAGGAGGCGGGCCTCGCGCTGGAGTTTGCGGATGAGAGAGAGGTATATTGTTCCAGGTGTTGACTCGGTGGGAGACGATGAGCACGAGGATGGGTTTTGCGTAGTAGGTTTTGTCGGTTTGGGGGGTGGGAGAGGTTCGATGGGAGGTAGTGGGTTAGGTCGTAGACGGGCATTTTGCATGTATTGCTGTAAGGGCTTGAGTGTAGAATTGACTGTGATGTGAGGTGAGAGTTATGCAGAGAAGATATGAAGATTGGGTGAGAGAAAGGCGAGGGAACACGGCAGTTGATTCGAGTAAAGTGAAGTGAATGGCTAGAGCAACGATCTATTAAAGTATAACAGAACAATAGCATCTCAACTAAAGCACTCTCCCCAGTTCCCTCCAGATCTGGCCCAGCTCAATCCCTCGACAAAGTCATTCAGCTTGCATCTCCCCAGCTTGTCAACTGCGCAGCCATGCAGTGGCACAACCCGGTCATTGATCAAAGCGCGAACAAGAGGCTCCTTTTCCGACTTGCATTGCATCGTCTCAAAGTAGGCTCTCGCGCCAAAAGGCACCGCCCAGGACGCCGAATACCCGACCGACTCCTTGGTGCTCTCCACCGAGGTCTGGGACAGGGGCTTGGTGCCATTGTACAGGCCCATAGCAAAGAAGATGGGAATCATGCCGTTGTCGTGCGAAAAGTCGACATACATGGTGGCGTTCAGCGGGAAGGTGGCCGGGTTGGAGTCCAGAGTCGAGTTGGTGCTCGTGTGGTCCTGCACTGGCGAATGCGTCAACCGGGCAATCAGCTCGTTGGTGAATCCTATCCCCTGAGCCGGTCCCAGAGGGTTGCCTGCGCCGTAGCCGTAGTATTTGCCCAGGGACTGAAGGTAGTCGTACTTCTTCCACTCATTATGAGTGAAGAGTCCACAGAACGGTGACAGCTGACTCGCGTCGGTGGTGCGCGCTACCGTGTCGAACGAGCACATGTCCATCAGACTGACAACGTCATCGTCTGTCAGCTTCACACCAGGGAGATGCTTTTCAGCGCGCGCACGGATCGCAGGCGCAAAGAGCGCGGTGAAATTGGCCTCAACCTCATCCCCCAACTCACTCGCCTCAAAGTTCGTGCACACACTATGGTCCAGCGTGTTATTGAAAGTCTCGCTCTCCGGGATAATAACACTAATCGACGGAGCGGCGCGGTTCGTCGCGCCAGAATCCGCCAGCTTCGCCTGCTGAAACCCCTCGATGAACTTCTCCCCAGAAGCGATAACCCGGTCCGAGCCCGAGGAGCGAATAAACGGCACCACACTGCGCGCCAGAGCCTTGTACCTCTGGTAGAACTTGATTCCCGAGTTCACCATCTGCTGCTCCCCAAAAGGAGTGAGGTCGTCCGCACCCAGGGTGTAGTTGTACGTCTTCAGAAAGGCAAACTTGCCCTTGAACGAGGTGGCATTCCTCTGGATCGCCGTCACAAGCTGCTTGTATTTCTTGCTCTTCGAGCTAGTCGGGTACCGCGCTCCATGCCGCGACAGTACCTGCACAAAGGTAACCTTGCAATCCTTGGGAAGCTCACTCGACACAGATAGCTCGTCCGCGAGCGAAAAGAATGGCGAGTACTGGCCCCATAGGTGGGAAGTCGCAGGAGAGCACTGGTACCCGAGCTCTACCGTATCGCAGGACTGGGAGCCAGCCGAACTAGGTGCCCCAGAGACTCTACTCCGTACCACAATTAGAACTACAGCCCTATCATAAGCAATGAAATCCAGACCACTCACCTAGAAAGCAGATATGCCACCGAAAGCAGGAACGTAAGAGTACCCATGATACCGACAATCAGGGTTCCGATTCTCCCCTCGTTGAAAGTTCTAACCCTTACTCTGAACGGGAAACCGTCCTCCCCCCGCCGGACACGCCGGCCATTATATAGCTCCTTCATCTCTTCCCGCCGGACTCGCATCGCACACCCCTTCAGCATACGAAACGGACGTCCGGCCCTAGGCAGGTTGCAGTCCACCACGCCGCTAGCAAGTTAGTAGCCTCGGATTACCAGTAGCCTATCGTCAGTGGAGCGATTCGCAAGTCTGTCGCGTGAGAGCAGGGATGAATCCGAACCGAGGACGGTAGCGCACAGAAACTTGACCGAAGGAGAGATGCCATAATGTTGGGCAGACCGATGTGTGGTGATGTGCGAGTGTCTGATAGGCTGCGCGGGAAACCACGTGGGTGCAACCGTTGTGGTGGTTGGAGACTGCCTGGCAGCCTTAGACTGACGGACCATGTGGGGGCATTGGTGCCTGGAATACTCCCAAGATTGATTGATTATAGAGTATCGAGAAGACTAGATATTGGAGGGGATCGCTTACATTCCAATGAGAAAACATACTGATGAACTCTATCAATACTTGATTTAAGACTACGGTTCAGGCAGAGCAATTCAGCAGTAGATCAAAAACAACAACCGAACTATAGGAGACACGATGTAATAGGAAATAGAGACCAAATGGCGTTCCTAACAGCCCTATATTGCCCAGACCAATGCCCGCAGTCTAATCTCCCTCTCCGAGAGTAATATATAGTACCAATCGGACTCACTCTCACCGCAACGTGTGCAACAGACAACTTCCAGAACATTGCTAATGTGCTCCATACAGCATCATCCATGTAGACCTGCTTCTCCAATTTAATTACCTTTGCTAGTGATATGGCACACATGAACCCTGCAGATGACAGTTCTGCGACTAACATCGGAGCAATGTTTCAGAGAAATTAGGTATGACGATCATCGCGCGGTCTGTTGTCTCGTTTGGTGCCGTACGCCATACAAGGGAAAGCGATGCAGGATATGCATTCGAGTCACGGATCAGCAGTGAGTGCTCGAGCTAATGGAGTTGCTGTGTGTAGCACCAGCATGTGATTGTATGAATGCACAGATGGAGGACCTGCTATATTGAGATAGTTTGATGGATGTGTTGAATGGACGAGGTGAATCAGAAGTAATCGCCAGGTTCTTATCCAACGCCTGCCATATCAAGGACGGCTTTCTGGGCTATGTACAAAGATGAGGGTCACTTGCGGCAATTTAATTCAACTAGATCGCAATTTGGCCACCCAGAAACCCAAGAACATTTATAGAAAAGGCTCGATGAATATAAGCTCTCGGCCTTCAGCCACAGTCAAAATGGGGATGCAAATTTTTCTCGCAGAGAACGCTCCCAATGCAAGCACGATGCTTACGTTCTAGGAAAAGGAGACAGTAACAATCTTGAGGACAACACAATAAGATAAAAGACAAATGAAAATGATAATACATAATCCGGAGAGGTTAAGCTCTCTGCGGATATAGGCAACGATTCACAGGGTCAGTCTGCTAGGAACGCGTCCAGTTTTCAGACACCTGGGGCAGTTGCTTCGCCTGTTGTTCATGAGCAGTCACTGGGTATGAGACCCCGTTGTGCCAGCTTTCTCGTCTGACAGGTAATCCAGAAACTGCATTGGAGGCTGGCGGTTGTCCGGGTGATCCTCCGGTAGTATTCATGGCACCTCTGGTCTCTGCAGCGGACCACGTTGTCTCAGTTTCCCGCTCCGGTATCGAACGGTACGCTTGAGGGGACGGGGGCCGCGCTGGAAGCTGCCCCGGCGGTACGAGGCGGGTGACATGCTCTCGGTAAAAGTCCCGCTCGGATCGATAATAATCGCGTTGCTGAATCAGCCCCAGAATCTCCTGCGCCTGTTTGTGCAGTGCCTCCTGCTGCTTCCGGATCTCGTCCTGTTGTGTCGTGATCTTTTGCTCCATCTGCATCTCATTTCTCTTCCGATTGCGGAACCTCCTCGAGGCATCGCTGTTAGCCTTTCGCTTCTCTGCCTGGCTGGATGACCCAGACTTAAGGTCCAAAATACAGGGGATCATCCCAGGCAGAGGCGGAGCATTCGTAGACCCTCCCATGCCGGGTTGATCGTCTCCTGCCGGCCTATCACCTACAACCGAGGGCAATCGACTGACCGGTTCTGACGTTCCATATACCGAGGGATTAGCGAACGATGGTGCAGATTGTGGGACGGGCATCCCCGCGATTGCTGGTGATGATCGACCAAGCGGACCGTAGATGGAAAGAGGAGTCGTGGGGCTCCTCTCTTGAGAGCTGGGAGTAGGGGTCGGGTTCACGCTCGTCCCCCGACTGTGGAAGGTTGGGGTGGAGTGGATAGAAATGGGGGCCGGGCTATGGCTTCGGATCCATGATTCAGGTTCACTGTAGCATTTTCCAACGGCAGAGGCGACCCAGAGGCCAACCGATACAGTCCCGGCCGTGACTCCTGAGCCAGGGGAGACTGTACAGCACTGTGTTTCCTAGCATACGGCCCTCCGGCTCCGACAAACCGAGATGTGGAGGAGACAGGCGAGAGAATCTGACGGTTCACCGACCCAGGGGAGAGCGAACGCCGTTTGGCAGGATGTATCGACGGAGAAGCCAGACGAAGCGTTGGCGATGAATGCAGTCGGACATGAGAAGCAGGTGCAGAAGAAGATGGAGGGACAGATGACTGATGTCCCGTCAGACTCAGGTTATCTACCCCCGAAGTTACCAGACAAGGAGGATCAGATTTTGTGGGCGAATTCAGTATGGAGTGCACTCTAATAGACCGAAGTTGGGCAGCTTGCAACGGGGGCTCCACTGGAGCAGAAGGGCGCCATGAGAGCAGCCGAGGACGCACGAGATCGCGGACCTCGGACGAGTGAGAATCATCGTCTACACGAGGTCGCTTCTTTTCGGACAAGCTGCATGAGTCTGTGCGGAGAGAATCGTTCTTCAACGGTTCAGAAGCCGGTGGAGTGTGCGACATGTGCTCCTGTTTACCTTCGTGAGACTGTCTCTGAGAGTTGGGGCATGACGCAGGGCCCCGCCTCTCCCGGTGTATATCGGAGAGAGGAGAGTGAGAGAGGGAGCCGGTGGACTGGTGAATATGATAGCCAGACAACGACTTATATTGATAAGGAAGGTGCGCAGGATTGGAGTAGGAGGTGGTATTCAACACGCTGATCCCTAGAGTAGCCAGGTTGGCGGATGAGAGAGTCGACTATAAGACGAGAGAAGAAAGACGATGAAATCGATGAAGATGAGTAGTGAGTCAGAGGAATATAGACACTCAGTCTTCGTTCTCTTGGGAAGAGTGATAAAATACAGCAGGAGATGAGGAAGGTTAGATCAGAAAGGGCCAGAGGAAGTATGTGCAGAAGCAGGAGGTATCCAGCTGGAGCGGAGGTAAATCAATATAACCCTAGGACACAATCTTGGTGCAGAAGAGGAGAGGAAGAAGATAACCTAGGTGATGATCGAACATGCAACTAGAATTAAGTAGTGGTACGTCGAGAGCAGCAGCAGCACCAGGGAGAAAAGAAATTGGAAGGAATCAGGCAGTTAGAGTGATAATTCAGAGGGCATATTTTCTCTATTATTGTCTTTATTATTACTTTTATAATTATATTTTATTTTTTGAGAAACATAGCACTTGCACAGCACCGAAGCCCAAAGTACCTTACCTACCATAGTCGAGATGACAATAATAATAATACCTAAAAATAATGTCCACTGTGACAGACAGTTCGGAGGACCGTTGACAGCAGACAGCAGCAGATCAAGCGGTGAGCCGTACCTAATAGTGGGAGACGGGGGGAAGTAGGAAATGAGTGGAGACCGGTGGGTATGGCAGTAACACTAATACGGGGCCTGGCACTGGGAAGTGGGAACCTGTACACTAGGAGCCTGGGAGCCTGGGACTGGGACAGACCCGCTCGGGAACCGCAGGCATGGGAACTGGCTGTAGGTAGCACTGCTTTAGTTAGCCGTTAGTTACATTCGACTAGTATCCAAGACAATCTCTTGGTAAGTTCTAGACTTTAACCTACATAGGTATCATCATTATTGATATTTGAAACTTTACCCACGCAATGATGAAGAGAAAGAACTCATTCCTACGGATATACCCACCTAATAAGGTAATCCTGGCCTACTAAGATACGTATCAAAGCCACTGCTTACCCAGGCAGTTCTTTCTAGGGTAGACACCGCGTGTCTACCTAAGTAAAGGAGGGAACGCCATATGGATGGGGCCGGGGAATCGGAGCGCGACTGTTGGTGTTCACGAGTTGTGGAGTTGCAAGTCTGAGAGCTTCAACGTCACTCCCCACCCTGAAATTGGGTAGATTCGGGGAAGGCAGTTCAACCTATGACGGACAGAGAGCTAGCGAAAAGTAGGTAAGAGACTGGAGACCCGCTCTGCTCCAAAGATACTTTACCTTGGCTTTAGGTTGAAATGGAGCTGATCGCGCAAAGACATCTGATGATCGAGGGATGGTGTGGTGCTGCTGCAACCACAGTTGTTGTTTGTTTAAAGATTTCCAGTAATAGTTCGGATTTTCAATGTTGAGTTTGTTTCGTAGGTAAAGTAATCCTCTCCTGTAGCATTGACCTGGTCAATCGTCACATCCCAAATGCTAAAACTAAAAGGCGCCGTCACCATGGGCGCGGGCAGGATCGGAGTGGAGTCCTGGTACATACCACAAAGTACCGTTATTCTTAGCGTATTACCAACATCCTCTCAGATACATATTCGGTACAGGCATAGTTTACTTACCGCTATTATAACATCACTATGAGGGCATCCAGATATTGAGCAAGATCAACAGTGCACGAGACATGTCACCGCCTGGCTTCCACATCCAATAAATGGTTATGTGATAGAATCTCAGGCAGGGCCTGATAATCCAGACGACAATCACCCGTTGTTTCGAGTATCTACACCTTGCTTGTTGCTGTTTGAGCTAATGTTCATTTGTTCTGTCCAATGGAAAGTACATTGAAGTTAAGTATAAATACTCCGTACTACAGTAAATTAGTCCTTGAATCCCTGTCGCAGGATATCGAAGGCTGAACGAGTTAGTGAATTGTCAAAACGGTTGCAGGCCCACACTAGAAACACTTGCCTCGTGGCGGACGGGGGTCGTATCATGAGACCTCACATAGACCAGACTGCATCGGTAGTCTTGATCCTACCATACTCCCTAATGCAGCTCGAAAACCAGCCAAGACCACAAAGGCCATGCCATAATGCCACGCCGCCAGTGAAGGCACTAAAACAGGGGCCCCGTTAGTCTCGGGCCGGCATATGGGATTGGGACCAGAGACTGAAAGTTTACCTAGAGCGCTTGGCCCCAGTGGACCCAGCCAGCTGACGAGATGGGATGGATTCGAAATGTTGTGCATGCATGCAGTCGTTGTTGGATCCTTTCACGCGTCTCCTGCTTACTCTTCCTCTTGGCTGTGCCATATGGACGAGGCGAATTGGTCCTTCGTTTCAAGACACTCTGGCAACTGTATCTGTCAGGATACGGAAATGGTCTTCCTGATCATTCCTCTGTGCTAGTGATCTCATAACAGTTCTGCAGCCTGCTGTCCATGACCAATCCCTTCCGAGAGGCACGGTAAAATGCTCGCCAGTTGGCACACGGCAGTAGCGCAGATTCTCTGAGATCCAATTATATTGGGAATCAGCATACTCTGCAGGCGATCTCGGACCGTCCCTGGGACAAAAGTTTCAGCTACATCATTGGGCATCAATAGAAGTGCTGGTGAGCACCACATGATGAGACACGCAAGGCAAAATAGGCAAAACATATATCCTCAAAAGACAAGCCACATCGGTCATAAGAATCTGTACTTTATTAAGCGGTTGACGAGTGTCCCAGTTCGACGGTTATCTGTGCAGTATGAAAGCGGGAGGACCAAAGAGGGTGGACACATCATCGGTTGCCTTGATGACACAAACTTCCTGGCAGATGTGGCCGAAACCCAGAATCGGCCAGCTGCATGCTGCAAAAATGCCCTAATGTATGCTAAATGAGTTGCATATAAGCTTCCAGCTCAAACATACATATGTACGTAGACAGTAGAATGGGCAAATCAGCTCGTAGATCACGGCGGGAGAGGCGAGGCTAGCTCCAAGTGTTGCAACTCAGCAACTCAAAAAGTACTTATTTTCATGTTGCGCAGCATTTACTCGTGCCTTTGAGATTCGACACAGCCAATCTCAGCTGGTAGAAATCTGGATTTCGAGTGATCCTCCCACCCTGTTATTGTCGATGTTGTAGCGCCGGCGATGTGACCTATCTCAAGTCCGAGATTTGAAACCTCGTACTTTAGTAGAAGGCCAATAGTACACTTTCTAGAAGAAGAGTAGATCGCCTTAATGGAAACGCACTAGAGGAGATACGTGCTTGACCACAATATCAGATGCGACATCCACATTGGCCACTATGGTGATCAGATGAGGTGGAAGGCTTGAAGCTCGGTATGTAATGATCTGCAGCAGAAGATGGATTATCTGCAGTGCAATTTCAAAATGAAAACCAATCCCGAGTGATTCTAAGGACTTTGGAGACATGATTGGTCAGAGGTGAAAAGTCTACTCTGGATATTATTCAATATTCCTTTTTTTCGTGCCTGCACCATCGAATGTGTTTTAAGCTCTCGGATAGCCTACAGCTAATCCTGCTCCGGTGAGTTACACGACTTGGTACACTGATCCTTCGTCCTTTTCCTTTCTGATTTGTGCATCAGATGCAGCATGGACTTTGGAGCTATAATTCTGAGTTGTTGGTAATAAAAGTTAGGTCAATTTCCACTGTCTTGGCCGGATGAAAGACTGGATTGTCACGATGCACTCTGTGTATTATGTGTGCCCTGTAGATCCACCTGGAGTACCTCTCAATGAAGTAGAGTCATATCATGATATCATGCATCCTACGTCCACGTTCAGACTGTAGAGTATCTATGGGGAATAGTGGCACATTGATAGCTTCACGTACTCCATAGTAGAGCAATATCTCACTAGCTGATCCATGGAAATTTACTGGCATCCAGATCTCGTCGCATATATTATGTATGTGCTTGGCCTCCTGAGCCTTGAATCCTGCCTGATCTCTGGATTATGGGAAGCGGCAAGTGGAGTCTAAATCCAGGCACAGCTGACCGAGAGGATATATCCCACTTAGCGACTTGGTAAGAGTGTATGCACTGTATGGTTGTTCGCAGTTCTCACTGTGACCAACTACTTTTAGCTTTTGACCAGTGGGCAGTGCTACTCTAATTTTGGGGCTAAATTCAATATCGAAATAGATGAGCGTGTTCCAGCTTGCATTCGTAATTTGAGTTAAGCGAATCCTTCCACGGGGGAAGTGATTGTTGCCTCTAGTTTTTGGGGATAGTCCTTTGTACTCCATAGATGGCATTACCTTAGCCCCTGAGCCTTGTTCCATTCGTTCAGAAATAGAACTGGAATAAAATAGCCTGTGATTCTTTTCGGTAAGGTGATCCATATATCCATACATAATCCGAGTCCTATCGTTGGTACAACGTGATAGAGGTTCAACCCCGTTTATGAGATCCCGCGCTTACCTTCCCTATTATTTACCTACCTGAATTAATGAAGTCGTCAAAGAAGTGAAGAATAGAAATTAACCGATATACTCCGTAGTCCATCAAGGAAACGCGAGATCCCTCCCCTCCCTCCCACTCTCTTCAAACCTAGGAACCCCTCATCCCGCGCGCTTTGCTTTTTCCCTCTTAAAAGTGCAACCTACCGCTCCAAGCGCCTGTCAAGAGATGATCTCAACTTCAAATCCCGCTGTGCTCGAGCGTGGTGAATCGATATCTTGTCATTGGGTTGCCAACGCTTTGTATGCCTTCATCAGATACTGCTAGCAGAGTCCACGTCCGCTGCGAGTGGCTCCGTATTGGTCCACTGCTATGTGGCTACAGCGGACTAATATTGCTTACCTTAGTAGTAAGGTACCTAACCATAGGTAGGCATTGGTACGGACTTGCATAGCGCTAGAGGAACAGACAAGCCAATGGTTTACGTTGAACCGTTGCTGCACTATCATTCCACTAGCTAGAAATGGTTGTCTGGACACCATCGACCTTTTTCCGGAGAAGACTAGCAAGATAGATTGATCCAGAGGACATACGAGTCAGTGCAGCCTCGTGCAGCTCTGGTGTCGAGTCGGCAGAATGTGTCTGAAAGTCATGGTGGAGTGTGTAGACTCTAAAGTCCTCCCTTGCGACCATAAAGGAAAGAAGAGTCGATTTTGATTGTTGACCATAACACGGTGCCAGATCCAGCCAGTAGTCTGTGTAATTCGCTCCTCTTATGGTTAGAATGTTGCCACCGACCTTGGGCATTTCCGCCTGCAATTGGGATCTCCAATGCGTCCACGATCTCCGGTACGTGGACGTATCTCATGCATGTGGCAAGACTCAGAAATAGGTCTCCTTCTCATCTATTGCTTATCTACTTGGAATATCTTCTGCCGGATGAGGAAGCCTGTGTATGCTTTTTATATCATTGCATTGCCGTGTGATTCTGGCCTTGTGTCGTCTCGATTGTCTCGCGATCGGCTGTTGCATATCGAATGATGTGCGTTGATATTCGCGGTCTTCGATCTGCTGTCGGACTCTTGGCTGGGATAGGCCCGTTGGTCGACTTCTTGATCGCTTCCAGGCCTACATTGGCACCGCAGATCAAAGCCAGTCTACGAAATCGACAGTAAGCTTATCGGACGCCTCGTTTCCAAAGGCGATATTGTGGGACGCATGATCAATGGATGAGTGTAGACTCATATCGCAAGGTACAAATGTCTTTTCTTTATCAGGATGGTAGGGTTCACATTGCTGAAAAAGGGTTGGAGCTATCTGTGACTATTGAAAGTCCCATGCGCATATTCATGACTATTGACGTGTCCCTCGGCATTTGACAACCTACTTCTGAAATCGGAACTCGTTCTTCGGCTTTCCCCTAACTCCTACGTCAATTCGATAGACCCGTCCGCCATAACGGACAGACTCTGGGAACCGCTCATCGTTGACATCGTCTTTTGCCGTGGTGACAAAAAGTTCTGTCCCTACGAAGGTCGGACAGGTGATGTTCCTGGTTGGGAACGAAATCTCGCCAATAAGCTTGCCCTCCGGGGAGATGCGGATGATCTTCCCGCCCCCGTAAATCGCGCTCCAGATGCATCCTTCCTCGTCGATGGCGAAACCATCGGGTTCCATAGGCTCGCCAACATCATAGTGCACTCTGCGGTTACTGATGGTTCCCGTGCTGGCGTCAAAGTCAAAGGCGAAGATCTTCGCCGTGGGCGAATCGGTAAAGTACATGGTATCGTCTCTGGGGTTCCAGCCAATCCCGTTGGGAATGGACACCCCTTCGACCATACGATGCAACTGCAGGTCGGGGTCCAGCCTGAACAAGACGCCCTCGTCGGTTGGTTTCTGGACTTTGGGATCATTCATCGATCCGGCCCAGAACCTCCCATGACTGTCGACGGCTCCGTCATTGAAACGCATTCTGGTTCAGAGAGCATTCGGAACGAGTCAACTTCTATGCCCAAAGACGGGGTTTTTCAGATGATCCAGGCTCACCGATGGGGTTTCTCCGGATCCTCCTGCTCGTCCCAGACCTTGCGGATATACGACAGCTCCCCAGTGTTGCGGTCAGCAAGGGCATAGCCGTGTTTGGCGGCTACGACTATTAGGTTCTTGTGATCATCACCGCCATTCGCAATATTGGCGGTGACTCTGCATGTCTCGCTCAGCGAATCAGCCATCAGGGTTATTTGGAAGTTTATACCTACCCAAGAGGAGAAGCTGTGTCTATTGTTTTCAAAGACTCCGGACCCTTGGCTAAATCCAGAATGTACAACTTCTGATCCCAGATGTCGACAAAGCGAAACTCGTTTCTCGCCTCATCGTGAAATGGGCCCTCGAGCAGAGTACCTGCTATGTCGATGTAGGGCTAACAAACAAAGAATGGTGAGATTGCACGCTTCGTCTACAACTGATGCGCTGTACATAAGAGCTACAGCGGTGGTGTTTGAGATTCATACCTCAGTGACCGTCCATTTCTGAAATCCGGCCATGATGAGGCTTGATTGTGGACTTTCGCGTTCGTATACTGCTTCGGCCAACTGACAGACCAGGTAACGAAGTGGAAAAGCTTGCCTTGCCTGGATGGTGCCAAAGGATGATCTCTGCGGATCCGGTAAAGTCAAGTTGCGGTCAGGATGATGACGGCGAAAACCGACGGAATCGCTCTGAGTCTGGCTTCCAAAAGCTCTAGCTGCTATTAATGATCAACGACAGCCGTCGACAAAATGAGCAATGGTGATGGAGAAGTATTGAGCTCAAATCCAATTGTCTCTGTGACCGGCTACGTGGGATGTCAATGCCAAGACAAACCCCCACAACCCGATCTCTCTATTTATCCACTGCCTTTATCCATCACGTCCACTTGTCTCGGTCCATTTCTCCGTAGGCTCCGTACTCAGTTCACTCTAGGTAAGGTAGATGATAGATGACCGTCAGTGGGCCAGCAGGCTCAATAGTTCGGACCCCTGAGCGACAATCTCTGTCAGTCTTGTCTTGGCCTCAGTCCGGTAGGCTGCAGGTACGTGACGACAATCATCAGAGTTCTCAAAGGCTTCACCGTCGCTGCTTGTTAGATGGTCGAGAACAATTTGGAGACTCTTTGACTGATACTCCGTTCGCTAACGGGAGATGAAACTCCGCCTCTGATGACGGGAAGTCGGGAACTTGATCCTTCAGGAACAGACACCAATCAACTGGAACGGTATTGAGACCGTCGCTAACTCAGTCCAGCTTATACCTATTCCATAGGATAATATTGCCAAATCCTTGTGAGTTTCAGTTGAAACGATAACACAGGCCTTCCGGGAAAAAAAAAGTGAGCAATCAGCTGCCATTCGATAGGAATAGAGACCGTTCATCAGTGATAGCAGAGACTCTCAGCGACCGTATTAATGGACAGCGTACACCATATGGCGTACCAGCTTTCCCAAGGAGGTGGCTTTTTGTCTTTACGGTTGCCGGGGTACGGCAGACTTCCCGTCTTGCGCCTCCTTTGGCCCCAGATCCAAATCCAGACCAGGAGTTAGCTCATCGCAGTGGAGAAACAGAGACAAGTATCCTAACCAAGGAATTGGAGCCATCCAAGCAAATAGGAAGTGATCCGATCGTCGACATTACGGGGCCAGCCATCCTGTCCAATGTCAAACTATCGCTTGTCCAGGGTGACAGCTGATAGTTTAGTGGGAAGTGATAGACATCATCGAAGTTTAAGACAATAACTAACAACTCCTGGAACATTTCCGGCCTCTCGTTCCATTTTCTGGCCTATGATAATGGATACAGAGCATCCACTCATGGTTCAGGCACCCGGACTTCTCAACGGCGGTTCGCCGGTTTGCTTATTTGTTTTCAACTCAAAGTGCGTGGGCGTCAAACATCTGACGCACAGCCGTTGCGAGGACATGTCACTCTGCATTATTCGCAGCATTGATCACCAGTTCTTGCGCCTCGGGGCGGCCTGTGTGCCGCGTTTGATTATCTCCTGCATGAAATTGTCGGAGATAGATCAGAAATGAGGCCTCGGCGTGTTCGATCCTTTAGCAGTTACGGCCCTAGGGATTTATGACCGCCAGAAGGATTTCGAATGAAGCTGGGCATCACTAATTACTACTAACTACTTCTGAGTATCGCCGATCTCCAGGTAATCTAATAAACATTCGCGGGTTATGTACCGACCTTCAGCCAGCTAATTCAAGCGGTCTGGCAGTGGACATCTCTACTAAATGGATTAGGGGCAATTGACATCGTCTAATATACGGATACTCCGTACAGGTTAGCTTTCAAAGCTGGCCCGTCTTTCCATCTGTTTCGACGATCATCAACGGGCTTGGACATCATGCATCGGATGTCCGTTCAATCGAACGTCATGCATTGCTCCACGTCCGACCACTCCTTGCACCGTAGATACTTTGCAAGTAAGTGGTTTTTCTCTCCTATTGAAAGGAAAACTTAATGAAAATGGAATGGCTGCGTACGATCCGTCCAGCAACCTTATGCAGTGGCACTGGCCGCACTGGCTTGACCGGCCCAACGTCCAAGCTGCATAAGTCGTGCAACGGAGTGACGGGTCAGAGTACGGAGTAGAAAATGCACCTCTGATCGTCTGGAACAGTGGAACTAGGCAGCTGTCGCTGCCTGACAGTGACCTGCAATCTTAACTCGAAGAAAATGTTGATCCACCACCGAGGCACCGACCGCTGCATGAGGCGGTCGAGGTATCGACACCGCACATATGAAAATGCGGTGAAGCTGTCAAACTGTCAAGTAATGACGGCTCCGACCGTTATGATGGGACTTGAGAGGTCATATTGACTGATCGAGTTTAATGCTCCGTAAATAGAGATATGACAGACACTCCGACGGTTTTGGTGGTGTAGTATGAGGGTAGGTACATTGTCAGCTTGGGTTGAAAGGAAATAACAACCAGCCATGTTTCAGTTCACATGATCGATTCTTCATGCAGCTGCAAGCCTGCAAGAAAGGAGCAGAGCAGGGCACCTCCAGTTAGGTTAACTTAGCAGCGGCCGTGATGCGTTGGGCATGCAGCTAAGGAGTACATTAGCTGCTAGCTGATTATCTGCGCATCTGCGCGCCAGTTGGTACAGGTGTGTATGGTAACTTACGGTACCAGTGCATTTGTAAGGAAGGTACCGAAGGTACCACTACATCCTGAGGTACGGAGTACATCAACCTCACCAGTTGGTAGGTAGGCAAATAGGCAAAATATGTCAATAATGACACCAGATTACCATACCAATCCACTTACTAAGAGCTACGGCTACACGTATACCTACTCGAGTATATGCATGTCGAGCGCAGCAACAATCCCACCAGAACCAGGACCTACCTACAACCCATACAGATACCACCCAAGCTAGCACAAAGCTGCAGGTGCACTGCGCCGTGCGCAGCGCACCGCAGCCTTGCATTTCACACCCTGCAGCACATCGCATCGCACCGCACCCAAGGCAAGGACACCAATGGCGAGTAACGACTTGCCACGACAGTTCGAGGACCGTGGGTACATATTACACAATCCTCCAACCGCATCGACTGTGAGAGCGAAAATTTCTCCCGCCTCATTTGCCTATTGGCTCTGACTGGGAATATATACTGGCCGTAATGCGGCGTTTTCAATGCTCGCTGCAATTGGGTTTATCTCATTTGGATTTCGTGCATGTGCGCTACCTTGCCTACGTTGTATGGGAGGTTTGTTGGGCGTTGGTTGGGTACCAGGGTACAAGGGATAGGTGAGTATCCGCTGTATCTAAATGAATGGAAATGTGCGTTGGAGGGGATGGGATGCAGGCGCCTTGCGTTTGTTGGAGAGTGGGTGGGGTTGGTAGTGTAGGAGATGTGGATCGAGGACAGTTGCCTTACTGCTGCTGGTGAGTTTGTTTCTGGAGATGACGCTGGCCTGCTTATGAGGAAAGAAGAGCTGTTGCATGATGACCTGATGGTTAGTTGACTAGGTATCAGTGCCTATGTGAAATGCTGGATGAAAGGAGTCGAATGGCTCATGTAGAAGCCAGCGGTTTTCCACCAAAACTACTCCGTACAGAATCATATTTGCTGGCTAAGATTCGTTGCTCATGTCATAACTACAGCTTGGTCCCCAGGTTGACGTGAACGGCTTTGATCTGCGTATATGCCTCGAGACCCGCCTCGCCCAGTTCGCGACCGATACCGCTCTGCTTGACGCCGCCAAAGGGGACACGGAAGTCGCTGTCATTGCTGCTGTTGATCCAGACCATGCCGGCTTCGATCTCCGAGGCCACGCGGTGCGCCCGCTCAATGTCCTTGGTGAAAACAGCTGCGCCCAGCCCGTAGGTCGTGTCGTTGGCCCGAGTGATGGCCTCCTCCTCGGTCTTGAAGCTCGAGATCACCACGAATGGGCCAAAGACCTCTTCGCGGTAGATGCGCATGTTGTCCTTGACGTTAGTGAAGACGGTAGGGGCGATAAAGAAGCCCTTGCCGTCCTTGACGTTCTTGTAGGGCTCGCCGCCGGCAACCAGGGTAGCGCCCTCACTCTTGCCAGCCTCGATGTACGAGAGCACCCGCTCATACTGGGCCTTGGTGACCTGGGGTCCCTGGAAGGTGTCATCGGCGAATGGATCGCCAACCTTGCTGGTTGTCGCCACGGCTTCCTTGAACAGAGTCACGAATCGATCATAGACGGACTCGTGGACAAGGATCCGCGACGTCGCAGTGCACACCTGTCCCTGGTTGTACATGATGCCAATGTGCGCCCACTTGGCCGACTGTTCCAGATCCGCATCGTCAAAGACCAGCAGGGGAGACTTGCCACCCGTCTCCAGGGTGATGTTCTTCATTGTACCGGCGGCCATCTTCATGATCTCCCGACCGGTCGCGGTCGACCCGGTAAAGGCAACCTTGTCCACATCAGGGTGGTTCACCAGGGCGCTGCCCGCGACTCGACCGAAACCATTCAGGATGTTGACCACACCCGGGGGGAAGCCCGCTTCCTTGATGAGAGTGGCCAGGTAGAGAATGCTGAGGGGAGTCTGTTCAGCAGGCTTCATCACGACGGTATTACCACACGCCAGCGCAGGGCCAAGCTTCCAAGCAGCCATGGCCAGAGGGAAGTTCCAGGGAATGATCTGGCCGACCACACCGATCGGCTGACGGAGCGTGTACGCAAACTTTGCCGGAGTGGTGCTGATCGTCTGTCCGTGGACCTTGTCGGCCCATCCGGCACAGTATCTGATGGTGTTGATGACTTCTCCGAGGTCATCATTCAACGCGACAGAGTATGGTTTTCCTGAACGTTGTCAGTGGTTATTCAACCCGATGCAGGCAGACAATGAAAGCATACCGTTATCCCAAGTCTCAATGGTCGCCAAAGTCTCCCGGTGCTGCTCAACCAGATCCGCCAGCTTCAGCATCAGGATCCCCCGATCGGTAGCTGACAACAGCTTCCAGGAAGGATCCTTAAGAGCCTTCCGGGCCGCCTTAACAGCGGTATCGACATCCTCTTCCCCTGCAGCATAGACGGAAGCAATCTCCGACTCGTCCCTGGTCCGTCAGCTAAGCTGTCGAGTCGCTGTAGGGAGCTACAAACTTACGAAGGATTGATCGTGGCGAACTTCTCGCCTGACTTGGACGGAACAAACTCGTTGTTGATGAATAGACCAATGGGCTGCGAGTACTTGCGCCCGTTGGGAGCTGTCAGTTGAAGCACGACGTCCGACATGATGATAGGAGTGCTGTGGAAGTGTCGATGAGAGAAGGTGGGGTTGTTGGGGATGCTACGGATAGTGGAAGGGATTCGAAGAGGAGGAGGAGTAGTAGTAGTACTAGGATGGAGACAGCGCAGGCGCAGTCGGAGAAGAAAAGAGGGGATGTTCATATGCAGCATTCGGAGCTTAGAAAGAGGTGCAGCGAAGAAGCAGGGTGTATTTATTTGTGCATGCAAGAACTGACAAATTATTCGGGATGGATCCATGACAGTCAGCTTTCCCCGCCTGCCGATAACCAGCTTGTAGAGAGCTGCGTAGATAAATCTCTCTCATTCGATAAAGTCGCCGCGGCCAAGTGGGTTTCTGCTGGGCTTTTTCTGGGCCGTCCCAGGAACTTCGGATACACTTACTCTTCCCAGGCAAACGACCCTTTGCCGGAGTTACCATTTCAAAGTCTGGATTCTTTCTTCTGACATATTGGCAGCATGTCTCAGGTTCAACCTGGCTTACGGAATGATACGATAGTATACCCATGATGCGAACCTGTCGCATTCAGTACCAGAAGATAATGACCTATGAAATGTACAAATAAAACATCCCAATGACCAATGCACCCTTGATTTATACCAGCGAGCCAAGACAACTTCAAATACATACTCTGTACCATTTATTCCGCGGACTCCGACGACTCGCCCGCCAACCCCAGAATGAACTTCCATTGTGCCGGCGTCACGGAGGAAACGCTGAGTCGAGTCTGCTTCAGGACCTGTAGATCCTCGAGAGGACCGCCGGGCTTCGCATGAACCTTGAGCTCATTGAGTGTAACCATCTTCTTGAATTTGCGACGGAATTCGACGTGAACGACTTCCCATTTCGGGTTGTCTCTCTTCGACTTTGGGTCGTAGTACGGGTGAGCAGGGTCGAATGCAGACTCTGTGCGATGCGCCAAATTATATGTTAGTTATCGGGCTCAAACACATGACTCGGGTCAAAGACGAACCATCTGGTGTGTGCTCTTGGACGATCTCCATCATGCCCACGACTCCCGGCACTTTGCAGTTGGAGTGGTAGAAAAAAGCGTAATCGCCCTTCTTCATCGCCCGAATGTGATTCCGTGCTATCGTTCCGTAAGCTTGTACTCTGTGGTGGCCATTCGCTAGTACACCCTTACCGACGGGGTTGCGGACGCCTGAGGAAGAGCAAAAGTCAACTCCGAGCCGTCATTGCATTGTGTTGAGGGGGTCCAGGATCCGGAGACTTACCATCCCACGGCTCTGGCTTCTCGGCCGCTTGCAGATCGTCAACGGAGAACTTGACATCAACTCCTTTTTCAATGCGCGACTCAGGCTCTGCCTTCATCAACCAATATGACTGGTCACTCTCCTCATCTGCAACTTTCGACTCTTCCGATTCTGAGTGTATCGGTTGCGATGGTGTCTCGGTTCCATTCTGTACGGAAGTCTTCCTGGGTCTCCCGACTGGCCGCTTTGGGCCCTGGGGCGTTTCGGGTGCCGAGTTAGGGGCTTAAAGCGTGGTTAGTCTCACAGAAGAATCTCAATGCAGCCGGCCCTCTAATCGATCGTTCCGTTCGGGCATCTTACATCTGATGGTCCCGTCCTTCCGAGGTCGGCCTCTGCCCCTTTTGGGACCCGGAGGAGGTGGTGGCTCTTGACCAGGGGGATACTTTCTGGGACGACCTCTTTTCCTAGGCTCGCCCGTGTAAGGATCAATTGCAGGCTATAAACAAAGAGTCAATATCAGTGCATGTTCATTCCAAGTTTCAGTCGCCTCTTTCAGGTATGCTGAGTTAGCAGTCGTATTTCTATGGATGACGACAAAGAGCTAGGACTGTAGACGGGCATATCGATGGATTGATAACGATGCGTTCAAGCTGCCAAGAATCGCACATTCGCGGATTGACGGCAACTATAGCCCTCGCATGACGCGCTGGGGCAGCTTGGAATCGATGAAGAGACCAATGAAGAGGAAATCCGCATTGAAATTAGGCTTACGCACTCTCTTTGGTGGATTGCTATCGGCAGCGCCTTCAGACTTGCGCTTTCGGCCCATTTTATTTTCTTCCTGGGATTTGAGGTGATGAGCTGAGAACTGTGCTCGAGGACGTCAACGGGATGGGGGGAAAGAAATATACAAAACAAAAGGGAGAATAGAGTATGCACCAGCCAGTCAGAAGGCCGGGAGGGGGATACTGTGACAATGGACAGATGAGACACTGGATCAGTTTTCTGGACGCGCCGAGACGCATAACAAACATCCAGTGCGAAGCCTGTCATTGGGTGCGGGAACACCCGTGGGGAGAGGGGAAAGGAACATGAAAGGGAGGAAGTTGATACTGGGAGAATAGCAATGGTAGTTGACTCACCTGAAGGTATTCAGCACCTTTGTTTTCTTTTTATAGAGTAAGTAGGAGAAAAATATAGAATATTGGGGGACTACTACGGTATCGACGACACCGGTCTGGACACAGCTTGGATGGAAGCTTTACTCGCGCCTCCTCGGAAGAGACATGGGATTGACAGTCCAGCTTCAACAGGACGCGACGGACGGAAGCTCAGAGTGGGTCGCGCTAATAGGTCACATGATCTACACTAACTTCTTGCGAGTCAGTCTGCATTATCTCTGCAGTAGTATCTATGCAATGCTCTTGAATAGTGGCTTGACCAGAGAAAAAGGTCAATCATCACGAAAATTAGAAGGCGGACAGAAAGAAGCAAAAAGACCCGTTCATCAAAGCTTAACGCGCTTCACGCGCATGTTCTTAAACCGCCATGGGGTACTGAATTGGCAAAATCGCTGGAACAGCCTCGTTTTCGACCATACCTATTAAATTATAGCCAAGGAATACAGAGTTATCTCAATAACTGTCTCCTTTGGGCTTCAAAATGTCCGTCAACGGATCCGAATGCAGGTCTTCGAGGCGTGTCCGTCTGGCTTGATTCATCTACAACATTCCGACCTTCTCACTGGTCCGCTATGATTAAATTAGCTCGGTGACGGATTCATACCTCGCAATCATTTTCATTCTATTATCTGTGAATATTCTTTGAGCAGTTGAGGTTGAATTGAGTCCCGAAATTGTAGGCTCGAGCAAGAAAACTAACTCCGCATACATGGAAGCATGCACCCCTTCCAGAGGATGGATGATCTAAAAAGATCGGTCATCCCTCCGAAGCAGACGCACTAAAGCAGGGACCGGGTTTCCAGAACGTGGATTAAGCCAGTTCGTGCTCCACATGGATTTTCCTCCACTCAGAGTTCCAACTCGGGGAGGATCAGTTCGTCGGCCAGTATGCTGTCGAGGGTCTACCATTGTACTAGTGCTACAACTAACGACGATTCTCTGCTTTTTGACTCAAGCCGCGATCTCCTCACAATCTGTTTTGGATAATTCTTCTCTGACATTGCCTGCGACTACGCTGAGTCCTCGCAACAGACAAACGATGAATCCCCCACCAAAAGATAGCCGTCGGCTACCGGCTCTAGTTCGAGAGGGGATCCCCGAGACTGTGAACAATCATGATCTCTTATGAGGCAGATACTGCAGCAGAAGAGAGAAAGAGAGCTGCAGGAGATTGCGAAGCGGCCGGGACTACTCTATCAGATGTTGAATATGTGCACCTTAACTTCCGCACCCCATTATCTTACCCAATTGAGCATCTTGTCTTCGCATCCTTGGCAACGGGCTCCACCGTCATGTCCAGACTCCAGATCTTCGGAGTTGCCTCCTATTTCTATGGTTGAGCAACGCAAGGCTGTCATACCATGATTTCCTATTGCGTGACTACTATGGCTGCATATGCGGAGGTCGAGCGGACGCCTCCATCTGTTTAGTTGACGGCTACGTGGATGTGAGTCAGGCCTGCTATGACCCGCGTATTACTCTGTGCACATTCGGTTTCGGTATTGCGCCAACGGTGCTGGTTATATTTGTCTCCGAATCAACTGCAGAAGACAGATTCGTCTTGAACGTATTGCCATTATGATTCGTATGATTTATTCTCCGCGTAGAGGAGTAAGAAGAGGAGGCTAAGCTACTCTACCGCAATATGCTTAAATTGGGTGTGGAGTCACGGAGTCCCTTGCCGGCATGCTTGTGGCAAGGTTCTTCCTCAAGGAAATTCGGGGTGGTGTGCGTCTGAGCCGAAAGGCAAAAGTCCTGAACTGGTACTACGATGCGCTAGAAGAACCTGGCTCTCATAACGTGGTGTTCAGTCGGCATGCCGCAAAGCTATTCGCCGAATCGGATGGTAGGTCTAGAGTGACGAAGAACGCAAACTACCGTCAGACGCAACGGCCTCCGTTGGCGCTCTATTTTGACAGTCTTGAGTTTCCATCAGGAGCAGGGGACTAAGATGTTTAGTACACCGGAGCGACGGCTCTATTTGCCTGCGTCGAGTCCGTACGATTACGGTCGGGCTATCTTCATGGGTCCCAGTCATTTATGAACTTCAGATTCGCTCAAGAAGCGACTTAGAAAGCATATGTCACAAATTTTATCTACTTCTCCCAGGTTTATGGTTCTTGAGCAGCGTACAGGGAAGCCATGCACCAGCATTTGAGGTTCTCGACCATTTGACGCCAACTGCCCCTCATGCCTATGGATCGGTGACCGAGAATCTCTGGTGTGGGCTGCTGGCGCTCTGGATCGTCAGTCTACGAAGTAAATAGTTGTTGGAGCCCATCTGTGGTTGTACGTATTGGGTTGCTGCATCCCGCACTGATTCTTGTCAGTAAACACCACCATGCAGAGTCATTGACGGAAAGGGATGTCCTATTGCGCCATTTTCAAAGATCCCCATAGGCTCTGGGCTGTAGTCTTGTCAGCCAAATGTCTCCTGCCAAACCCTCTTGAGGCATGATTGGCTGGTGGGCCGTCAAAAAGACTGTACGAGCTACCATGAATAATCAGACTAGGGAAAGTTAAGCTCGGCAGTTAGCAGATAATTAAACTCGATGCTTTGGGACTGGAACCAAGAGAACATTTCTTGACACTGCACAAGAGTGACCATATTCATCAAGAGTGCAACATCAGTAACAAAGAATCAAGTGAAATCAGACTGCAGTGAGCTAGAACCATGACTCCGGTAGTATTCCCTTCAAGAGTCCCAGGCACCGAGGCATCCGTACCTTGGTAGCCTACATGGACGGTGGATGGGCCTCATAATCACCGAAAACATCAAATGTGGGGCCGAACCCCAAGGAACAGGAAAGCACGCTAAACATCCCACCAAGAATGAGCTCATGTTGCACCAATCACACGCTTTCTGCCCTGCTGGCGGTGGTGAATTGCGTGATCGCGGAGATACAGGAGCCTCGCTGTGATTTGCCCATGGATCACTGTAAGAGGACGATCTAGAGGGGTATCATTTGGCTGTTCGCTGTTTGGTATAGGGGAGTGGACGACTATTTCTAGCTGATAAATCTCACTCATCCTTGTCGAGTTCGTCTCTTCCCATTCCATCTCTTGCTCTCTGCTCAATCACCCTAGGTTCTCTCTATACCTCCATCTTCCATCTTCCATCTCTTCCATCTCTTCCACACACAGTCACAATGGCCCAGGAACGTGCTGCTCCGTAAGTGTTCCTGAATAGAATTACTATTATCAAGGACCCTGTGTTCTTGAGAATCATATGCTGACATCCTCTCTCATTCCCACAGTCTCCGTCTCGGCTCTACTGCCCCTGACTTCGACGCTGAGACCTCCAACGGTCCCATCTCCTTCCACAAGTTCATCGGCGACAGCTGGGCCATCCTCTTCTCCCACCCTGTTCGTACCTCCCAATTTTTCAGACTGCCATGCGCAAGAATCATCCAAATGATGGAAAGAAAGACGGCTGATGCAAATGGAATAGGATGACTTCACACCCGTCTGCACCACCGAGCTCGGCGCTTTCGCTAAGCTCGAGCCCGAGTTCGCTGCCCGCAACGTCAAGCTGATTGGTCTCGTAAGCTGAACAACGGTGCTCCAGTCATGGATAGCTTCGCTGACATTCCCCTAGAGCGCCAATGGCACCGACTCCCACAAGGCTTGGATCAAGGACATTGACGAGGTCAATGGCTCCAAGCTCACCTTCCCCATCATTGCCGACCCCAGCCGCAAGATTGCCTACCTGTATGACATGGTCGACTACCAGGACACCACCAACGTCGACGAGAAGGGCATCGCTTTCACTATCCGCTCCGTTTTCATTATTGACCCCGCCAAGAAGATCCGTCTGATCATGTCCTACCCGCCTCCACCGGCCGTAACACCGCCGAGGTTCTCCGTGTGGTTGATGCCCTCCAGACCACCGACAAGCACGGCGTTACCTGCCCCATCAACTGGCTCCCCGGTGACGATGTCATCATCCCCCCTCCCGTCTCCACTGAGGATGCTAAGAAGAAGTTTGGCGATATCCGTGAGGTCAAGCCGTAAGTCTTCTCTTTCCCGGGCGCAACATGAACGAGTCATGCTAATCAAATGGTATAGTTACCTGCGCTTCACCACTCTTAAGAAGTAATCCATTACTCGATTCACTTACCTCCTTGAAATAGACCAAGCAGCGGCACGAAAAGCTGGGTTCTACCAAAAGGAATGGGATATGTTGGCCATGACTGTCAAATGATTTTGCTTCTACTTTTTGATACCTCGTTCAACTAAATACATACAGTTGCTTAATGAACAAGCTGGACCTTTATACAACAGTATTGATCTTCACATATCAGTGTATCTTCCTTTGCGTATAGTCAGGAGGGTTAGTTGTTCGTAGTCACTGTGCGGGTGGCTGAGGAAATTCATTCGACTCATGTGCTTCTGGCTGTCATGATAATAATACGCATGCGAGAGAGATCCGAGGATCTGAAAGTCTAAAGTCACATGGCATAAATCTGTCAAGTCGAACAACTGACAGTAGTATGTAAAATAGACAGAAGCTAATAACATCCCCACAATGTTCTTCGTCCATATCATTGGATCGGCCGCGGTGCCTGACTGCCTGGACCACTTGAACGAGCGACCGCTTCGAAGCCCGCACAACACTAAACCACCTTAGTACCGAAACACTATCGTCGGCCCCCCTCTTCCTTCCACATCGCTTCTTTCTGCTGACCGGTTTCCATCTTGTTCGACTCAAAATCCCGACCGCAACTGGTTTGCAATATTTTCGACCTGCAAATCTGCCAACCTCCAGCTCTGTTTCGAATCCTCGGGGGAGTAAGGGCGGGGAACGACCAGCCCCCGTCCCACTCACTTACCTGCCAGTGCCCGACCGCCCCTGATCTACGGAAAAAAAGGTCCCGGTGACGATCTGGAAGACGGCCGATTGTGTTTTCTCTCTGCGGTTTGACGTCGATTCTCCATTTTTCCATTCGATCGCTGTGACCGGCCGGAATTTTCGAAGTGCTATGTGACCTGGTTGTTTTCGCGACTCCATGTACCACGGGCTGGAAATACTTTGAAATAAAAGTTTTGAGATACCTAGTACCTACCGAGGGAACGAAACGACCTTAAGAGGGTAGAACACGGAGAAGGCGAAATCAGGCCGGCCGTTTCGCTCGAGTCGGGATCAAGATGATGTCAAGAAGTCAGTCAAGTTTGGGTTACATGGATACGGGCAGGGATGAACCCTCCACGTCTGGGGCCTCTCCAGGATATCAACCGCCGCCATCTACAGCCGGTCCGATCAACCTATCGGGCTTAGTCTGCAATGTACGCCGGACGACAGGCAGAGAACCACACCCGCTGGTAGGAGCCACCACCACTATCCTCGGCGACAAGCTCTACGTGTTCGGAGGCCGCGTTCTATCGAAGACTCGCCCGCAGCTGACGTCGGATCTGTATGCGCTGGACTTGATCCGGCGGCACTGGACGAAAATCGAGGCCACCGGTGATATCCCTCGCCCGCGGTATTTTCACAGCGTATGTGCTCTTGGTGATAATAAGTTGGTCTGTTATGGAGGCATGTCGCCTGCCCCGAATGCGTCCAAGGAGTCTGCGAGCAATGGCGCGTCAGGGCAGGAAGCGCAGCCAGAGGTCGTGGTGATGTCTGATATACACATCTTCGACGTACCGTCTCGGACATGGACGAGAGTCCCCGCTACGGACTCACCTCAGGGTCGATACGCTCATTGCGCGACGATCCTTCCGTCGAGCGCCTTTTTCACATCCGCTAGTGCTCCACTCTCCGCTATTCACCATAACCCGCGTCGTCCAATCCCCATCAGGGCACCATTGGAGTCGACATTGATGGATTTGGCGGTGCCGAAATGGTAGTGGTAGGAGGACAGGATAGTTCGAACCACTATATCGAGCAGATCAGTGTGTTCAACCTCCGCAGCTTGAAGTGGACGAACACAAGCTCGCTGGGAAAAAGCTGCGGCGCCTATCGTAGTGTTGTTGCCCCGTTGATCGGAATGAATGTGGCAGACATCGGGTCCGCTGCCGCCGAGCGGGAATCGCAGGAGCCAGTGGAATCGGAGGTGGAAGGGTGCCCCATGCTGATTTATTCCAACTACAACTTCCTGGATGTCAAGCTGGAGCTCCAGGTGCGTTTGCCGGACGGTCGCTTGATTGAGAAGCCAATGCACAGTGCAGCATCGCCCCCGGGCTTGAGATTCCCCAACGGCGGCGTGATCAACGGGCATCTTGTTGTGAGCGGTACCTACTTGACCTCGTCCAAGCAGGAGTATGCGCTCTGGGCGCTCGATCTGAAGACTCTCACATGGGGTCGGATCGACGCCGGAGGGTCTGTATTTGGTCATGGCAGCTGGAACCGTGGAGTGCTATGGGCGAGACGGAATACTTTTGTGGTTCTGGGACACCGAAAGCGTAGTCTGGTCGAGGATTACAACCACCGTCGAATCAACTTCTCTCACGTCTGCATGGTCGAGTTGGAGGCCTTCGGGTTGTACAACAATCCATGCAGAACCGCGCCAACTTCCGGATACATCTCACACAGTGCGCCCTCAGTTCCTGCGTCTCTGCAACATAAATTGACTCAGTTGACATCGGGGGGAAGGCCCTTCTCGCCTGCATCTGACGAGCTGGGCAAGCTTGCTCAGTCTCTCCCTGAAATGGCCGACATGGAGCTTCAAGCAGCTGGCGGAGAGCGGATCCCCGTCAACTCGCGGATCCTTTCTCGGCGATGGGGTCCTTACTTCATCCAGCTTCTTCGCGAGTCATCCGACACTGGTGTTTCTGACACGGCGACCCTGCGTGGAGCGATCCCGATGTACCCCAGTCGAAACTCAAGCATCACCATTACTCCCTCGATAGGACAAAACAGTTCCTACTCCAGTGCCAGCACCCTTGTCAGCAACCACTCGAACCCTTCCCAGTCTTTGTTAGCGAATCTTGAGATACCCTCTGCTCATACCTTAACCCCTACCTCTCGACCGCGTGTTTTGTACCTCCCCCACACCTTCCTCACTCTCCGAGTCCTCGTCTACTACTTGTACACCTCGTCACTCCCGCCCGTCGGATCCTCCCTCTGCACGCCCCAAATTCTCTGCTCCCTACTTCAACTCGCTCGGCCCTACCAGGTAGACGGCCTCCTCGAGGCGACTGTCGAGCGACTCCACCAGATCCTCGACGGTCGCAACGCAGCCGCCGTCTTCAACGCCGCCGCCATGGCTGCCGGCGGCGGCAGAGGCACCGGCTTCATCAGCGGACCGGGCGGCACCCTCGAGGCCTTGAACGGCGCACACGCGGCCGCCAGTGAAACCGCGAACGCCGGCGCCGGCACCACAACAGGCACCGACGCCTCGCAGAACAGCCACCTCACCTCCGACTCCTCCGACACCGAGCACGGCACCACCTCCGCCCTCTCCACCGCCAGCGGCGGCGGCGGCGCCACCAGCGCGCCCTCCTCCCGCGGCATCCCGCTACGCATCAACACCAACCTCTTCGGCCGCAGTCACCACCGCACCGACCGGGACCGCGAGGACTCCATCAGCAACGCCAGCACCGCCACCTCCGCCTCGAGCTACGACCACTCGGACTCCGAATTCACCGGTAGCGAGTCGCAGTCGCAGTCCCGTCCGCGCCGCGTCCGCCGCGACACAGACGCCCAGCTCCGGCCACACAGGGAGATCTGGACGGGCGATCTGAGCAGCGTCATCGGTCTGCAGAAACGGGGCTCCGCGGCCTCATGGAGGGCCGAAGGCTGATGAGAGAACGCAATGCCAAACCCGGCAGCTCCGGCGGTTTGACGTCTTTGCCTGCGACTGCTGTAGATCAGAGTGCTGCTTCTGGGGTATAGGTCTGATTGCTTCTACTGTTGTGTTCATTTTTGGTATGTGCGACGATGATCGAGTACAAGTATATAGAATGCATTGTGGTTTTGTGTCCACATCTAGATAGCCGGTTTCGTCTCTCTTGTTAATTCTGACTTGACTTGAGGCCAGGGATGGCCGGTTCGGTCATACTAACGTATGGATGGACACGTGCCGTTTGAACAGGATTGCATAATAGTCCTAACCTTCTATCACCTAACGATGTCAATTGCATGCAAGAAACAAATATGAACATAGACCTTTGGAAATGAGACAGCCTCCTCCAATTCTTCATGTAAAATTCAGGGACAGGAAAGTACAATACAAGACTTTGTGCTAGATCGTCAATAATGAGGGCGAAAATGAAAGGCAGACATCACGGCCTTGAAAAGGACATTCGTGAACTCGAAAGAACCCACGCTTCCCAGAGGAAGATCTGTTCACGCTTGACTGCGATTTCGTCGTCCCCGAGGTCGTCGACTGTCAGAGTGCGCAGCTTTTGCATGGTCGCCTTTGGTATTGATCTCCTCGATGTACCTCGCGGAGCTAATGACATGTAATCGTCGTCAAAGGTGACTGGCTGGGGAGAGCCAGAAGGGAGATTGGACACGAGGGAGAGCGCTGGAATGGCCTCTATGATACTAACCCCAGTGCCGTTGCCGGTACCATGCCTGCTACTGTTACCATTCGTGTGGTCGGCGGATTGTATTCGTCTGACGTAGTCGATTTCGTGCAGGTCTATACGTTCCAATTGCTCCGTCTCTTCGCGGAGGCACGCTAACACGTCCCGCCAGCGTCCGTCCCGAAGGTGCACATTGATGAGCCTGATGTCACGGATCTGTCGCTTGTGTTGAAGGACTATTGTGATGATGTCGTCTGCATCCAGGCACCAACCCTGCAGGCTGACAGTTTGGAGCCGTTTCCATTGGACGCGATAAAACATCTGTTTTAGCGGGAGAAATGCTGATCCGTTGCCAGGAACTCCGAAATGGACGGCAGTCAGATTTCGAGCCGCCAGGAAGAAATCATGGAAGACGCTAGACACTTTTGACATTGTAGTGGCCATCCCAGCGTACGACTGGAAGGTGATATCCAGGCTTAGCAATCGTGCTCCCAAGGCGGAGAAGAACATGGGAGGAGTCTGCAGCAGCCTGATCATGGAATCGGAACTCATTTGTGGCCCAACAAAGCGAATGGAGTTACAATTTGATTCCAGGAGAGAAACTGCCAGATTTGTGACTGCTCGAGTGCAAGCGGGCTCCCAGTCCAGCATGGCTGATCGCTCCAGCGAGCGCCCTTGAATGTGTCCCATCAATAGTTCATCCGCTTCGTCTTGTAACCTCAGTAGTTTGACCTGCTGGAGACCCGAAAACGAGGCTATTGCACGCCGCAGCAAAAGAAGATCATTGTTCTCCTGGACGATCTGTTGTTGGTCCTGCAACCGACGCTTGATTGTGTTGAATAGTGAGGGATCCGTCTTTTCTATTTCCGTCAAGATTAACGGCCAGCCTGGAAATTATCAGCATCCTTTAAGGCTTGTTGGCGTCGACGAATCGTCAGTTACTGTACCGTTTTCTGAATAGAATGGTCGCACCATGTAAGTGAAATACCTCACATGACAGGCTAGTTGCATAGTCAAGAAATCTTCCAGTCGTCCAAATTCGTTCCTTGAGAATCGCAGGACGAATCGACGGAATTTCCTTGGGGCGCCGATCCGCCTGAATCTCTTGCATACAAGTCTGAATCGATCCAAGTCAGACTTCTCCCCATACAAATGAATGCGCGTGTCACCATTGTATTGCGATACATGCTGAGAGTACGGCTGAGAGGCCCCTTTTATCGGGGGATCCAACTCCAAGAGGAACGAGAGAATTTCACTGAGCAATTCGTCCGCCAAGTCGCAAATATGCCGCGGGCGGTTCATGCTGTTCGCACAAGGAGGCAGCCGCATATTCAACTGCTGTGACTAGTCGCAGTGACACGGAAATCAAGCCCAGTACAAGATGAGTTGCAAGCGGCTGCGCGACTTGCCCAATAATGCGTGAAGAGTCAGCATGGGGGTCGATTAGGGTATATATAATGGCAATAAGAAAAGACTCCAAGCTCAGTGAAAAAGAAGGACCAGAGAGAAAGACACCAACGATAAAAAGAAAAAAGAAAAGAAACCAAAAGAGTAAAGACGACGAGGGAAGGAGTGCATGCCTCTCTTGCAGTGTCAGTCTTGTCTAGCTGGAGAGCAGACAGACGCCGCAGATGCCACTGCGTGCATGCAGCAAGTTGACATGTCTGACGAGGGTTAGAGCAATCCACCCGGACTACCAGCCCGTTCGACTGGGATCATCGTCAACAATAGTGACACTTATGGTGGACTTCTACCCTGCATGCCCTTCTGCCATCAAAATTTCCCGGTTTTCAAGGTCGACTGGATATTGGTTCGCTGACTGGCACACAGCAGTCACATGATTGAAAAGGCATGCGGTTATCCAGCGCGAACCTGCAGCAGATTTGGCAGAGACGGAGGACGAGTGGCTGCGAGTCGAGAGGAAGACCCGGTGAGTTGGCAGGACTAAGAGGAGTCCAGGAGGGGAAGAAGAAGACGGAAGTGGTCATAAGAATGATGATTGATCCGATGATGCGACAGAAGAAACAGCCGGCCGAGTCAGGATCTCTGCTAAGGCCGTCGTCGCCCGTAGTCCCAACTCTGTGCTGCAGACGCCCACCCCGCCCCTGGGGGAGCAGAAAACGAATCACCGCGCTATCACCTGCAGGTCTGGGTTGTTTCTGTGACCGGTGGGAAAATCAGCGTGACGATTCTCTGCCTTTTATTAGTCCTGGAAGCGCGTCGAGGAGTAGCACCACGGCAGATTCCATGCACAACGGGATTGAGGTTATGGTGGGACAATTAGCAATCCTAACCAACCCGCTGAACCTGGCTTCAGAAGAAAGAGGGAAAAGAATCCATATCAGCCACTCGATTTCCGTCGGAAAATAAGTCTCTCGCATTTTGAGTCTTTCCTTTGGAATCCCTCCATCATGCTACAGAATGAATCGAGGAGAGATATCGTCAAACAACGAGGACGTCCATTCCTCTTTTTTCCCGGCAAGCAGGGGGCAAGGCACTAAGGCAGCTAAGGTAGGCACTCGGTCACTCAGACACCTTCTGAGCCATATTGATCTGAAATCAGAACTGCTCTTTCCATGGTCCATAGGAAATGGGCATTGTTGGCTGCTTATCTACGGAATTCCGGTTTCCAGTTTAACAGCGCCGCAATTCGTCATTTGTCCTTCAGAACGTCCTCGTCTCTGAAGGTCTTGAAAGCAGGATATTCAGTCCAAGTAAGTTCTCAGAGTCTGGCTGATTAACATAACTAATCTAGTTACTGAGCCGTGGCCATTTCCATACGACGCCGTCTGATATCTGTACTGCTTATTTTCGACGCAAAGCTTTCGCCATCGGTTGTGGGAACCTCCCCAGAATGTAAGACATCTATCTCGAAGACATCGAGGCTCTTCCACCCCTTCTTCGCTCGCTCGTCATTGACAGCTGTGCCTCCCGAGCGAGTTTCCGCGGACACCACGAGAGCATCGATGCTTTCATCGGTGATCGTCGGTCCAAACGGGTCCGTGATTTGTACCAATTTCAGCGTCAAGCCGCAACGGACCTTCATTAGCACATAATGGCCGTTGGGACCCGGCTGTGATACCTGCTCAATGCGCGGCGCACTTTTGTCCGGACGGCTGAAATCCATAATCGCCAAAAGGAAGGACGAGGTGCTCTGACATCGGTCATCCCAGCTCTCCAGAAATTCGGCATACTTCTTGTTCTTCAACAATGCATCTCCTGTAACGCCCACAGTCAGATGTCGCTCAGGAATCGGATCGAACTCTTCCACAGGTTCCAAAGCTAACGCAGTGGCGGTGAGGAGAAGTTTGTGTCCAATATGGAAGTGATCGAATGTGCCCCCTACGGCAACCGAATAATGCGGCGATTGAGCCTTAACTTCAGGAACTATCAATGTCTTGGGAGAGGGCCAGCTGGGCTGATTCGAGAGTGAATGCAAAGAACCAGCGTTCGGGTCTTTGTTCTTCGAATAGATACTATCAAACGCTGTTGCTAGCTGTTGACCTGCTTCGTTTCCAGGATAGTAGATCCAGTCCCATAGTCGCGAAGAATTCGCCAGCGATTGCAAATCGAGGATCGGTCCATGTCGTGGAGTCTGACGATCCTCTGCCGAGGTTGTTGGGAAATCAATAAAGACTACCCGAGCATCAATGCCACCAGGGGCATCCAGCTCAATGCTGTGCTCCGCGCTGACGATTCCAATCAGCCTGTAGATATTTGCCAAGTAATGTTGAAGGCTTGGGAAAATGTTCGCCCTTGGCTGAGAGCTTCGTGAAAGGAGACCTGGTATGGAAATAGCGATGTCTAGAATTGCAATGCTATTAACGCCATTAAGCGTCTTGCAGAGTTTGGAAAAAACAGTAGACAATGTCGGTTCATAAGCATCTTTGAATTGTTCAAACTTGACAGCCGGGGGAGGAGGGAGAAGCAGCAGAGCTGCAATCTCCTGGGGGCCGTCATCGGAAGCCATTCTGAAGGGGATTGCGGGGTGTAGACGAGGGGGAAGAGCGCAAAAGGAAGATGGAGATAGCGCGACAGATGATACACGCCGGGGGATTATTTATGCTGAGGAATCCAACTGAACATTTTGGAATAGTCTTCTTGAACCAGCGAATAGCAGAGAACTAAAAGACAGGTACGCAAATCCTGTGTTACCTCCGAGCAGGAGAAGTATGGCCGTCGGTTATGTCTCCTTCGAGAGACTCAACTCATCATCACGGCTGACTCAGCAGCACGAGACTCCTCCGGCGACTCTGGCGTGTCTCATCCTCGACCTGTTGCTGCCCAGTCATTGCCATTCGGCTTTTCTTTACGGTCCTTGTGGGTTTCTTCGTAAACTCCATGATGTGCTTGTGAAACACTACCAAGGTGATTTTTCTCTGTTATGATCCCATACTGCAACACATAGGCTTGGTGCAGTCGGAGCCCCATACTCCTACCTGTACATGTCTCTCTCTCCCTCTCTTCACAGTAAAGTCATCCGCTTACCATGCTCTCAGAACTAGTCACCGGTGAGAACCTAGTGGGAGCTTTGGTTGTAGCGCAAGAACGTGGCGTACCGAGAAAGACGTTCTTCACGGATTCCTCAACGACTGAGCTGCAACAGCATGTCGAACCCCGCGCAACCCTACGAGCCCTCTCGACGGACGACCGTCTATAGCCGCCAGCCAGAGGAGCTTCATATCCCGTCCGGGACCCAGACTAGCTCAAATATGCAGCGCCAATCGATGTCTCACGAACTATCGACAGCTACTGAGCCCCCAATGAACAATCTCCCTTCCATCAACGTCCAGCCGTCGAGCGCCCAACCAAGTCACTATGGGGCCGGTACCAGCAGTGGCAGCGGTGCTCTCCCAGGAGCACTTCAACCAGGGAACGTGAACCGTCCTCCAGCAGTGTCTATGAACACAGCGCCTTCTGCGCTCCCAACGCTTACCCAACTGTCTACGCAGCTGCAACCGCAGGCATCGCAACAACCACAACAACAACAGCCACCGACGACCCCCCGTTCGGGCATGGTCAATTCGCACGGTCATTCCAGATCCAGTCCTTCGAACCTCGAGCAACCCAAATATAGAACGCACGGAGTGACAGAGAATTCCAGATATGGATCATCACCTGGTGCGGGTTTCCAGCCCCATACTCCGCAAGGAGCGAAATACTCCCCGCTTGGGTTGGCCGATATACGTCCGTCGGGGGATCTTCTGAGCGACGCACTCCACAGTCCGAGCATGCCTCCAATTAATGGAGATACTCAGGTTCCAACGAACAGCAACTACATCGCTCCTTGGCCCGTATATGCAATGGATTGGTGTAAATGGCCAATTTCAGGAAGCTCGGGCTCCTTTGGCGGCAAGATCGCACTAGGAAGCTACTTGGAAGATAACCACAACTATGTAGGGACATGTTCTACATGCTTCGTTATCGTTTGGATTCATTCAATTGCTGACTAGAATCCAGATACAAATCATTGATACCCATTTGACACAACCAGACCCGGATACACCAGATCTCGCGCCGGGAGACATGAAAGTAGAGTATGTCAAAACCGCGGAAGCCACACATTCTTATCCCGTCACGAGAATCCTCTGGGAGCCGCCCTCGTCCCAGAAGCAATCGACGGACCTACTTGCGACGTCCGGCGACCACCTACGACTGTGGTCATTACCCACCACCCAGCCCTTGCATAGCTCCAACTCGATCACACGCCCTGCAAATCAGCGGGATCCCCCGGCTGCCAAGCTTTCCCCCTTAGCACTGCTATCGAATTCAAAGTCTCCCGAACATACTGCCCCTATCACGTCTCTCGATTGGAATACGATATCTCCCAGCTTGATCATCACCTCGAGCATCGACACGACATGCACAATCTGGGACATTCCTACGCTCACAGCCAAAACGCAGCTGATCGCGCACGACAAGGAGGTATATGACGTTCGATTCTGCGCGAATAGCGTCGACGTCTTTGTTAGCTGCGGCGCTGATGGTAGTGTGCGCATGTTCGATTTGCGCAGCCTGGAGCACAGCACGATCATCTACGAGCCGACTGAGAAGAATGACAAATGTATTTCGTCCACATTATCCTGGTTTGAATCTTGCTGACACGAGCCTTCTCTAGTAATGAGCCCTGGAAACGGTAGCCCTTCAGCTCCATCCAATTCCGTCTGGCCCCACCTCTTTTACGTATTGCAGGTGTGTATTCTTAGTCGCGTGCACGATGGAGACCATACTAAACACAAATTGCAGCATCACCACACGACGCTCATCTCCTAGCAACATTCTCTCAAGACTCCAACATCGTCCGCGTGCTCGATGTCCGGCAGCCGGGTCAAGCCATCCTCGAGCTCAAGGGCCACTCCGCATCCATCAACTGCGTCGAATGGTCCCCCAACCGACGGGGTGTCCTCGCCTCCGGTGCAGACGACTGCTTCGTTCTCCTATGGGATCTGATCAACCAGCACAATGCCGCACCTGTGCCCCCCGTCGTGCACAACCCAGGCACACCGTCAACCACTTCCGAACGAGGGCCAGCTGCGGCCTGGCAATGCGATTATGAAGTCTCGAACCTTAGCTGGTCGCCTCAAGGAGGGACGACCAGCTCCGGCCACCCGAGGGATTGGTTAGGAGTTTGTGGAGGCCGAAGCGTGTGGGGAGTTGCATTATGAGATGGAGACGGATAAACGATCTTTTGCTTCTAGACAACTTCTATTTATTCCCCTTTTGTTCCTTTTTCCTTTACTTCCTCGTCTTTCTTGAGTCTTGGTCTGCCTTGCTTATCGTTCTATCCGACTGGGTGATGAAAAATGAAGTCATGCATGCCGGTATATGGAGCGAACTGGGACGAGTGATGATTGAACGATTGACTGAATTAAATCAGAGAAAACATACAGAGCTTGACTGTAACAGGGTGAGCGCTCATGTGAGGCAAAAATTCAAGAGGGTATATAGAGATTCCTCCAATCTAAGTCTATTTACTTCTACTCCAGGTAGGCATGTAATATGTACAGTGCAAAAGGGAAAAAGCAGACCGAGCGGTTCGAGAATTGAAAATGCCAATTGCCGTTAACACCCAACAGCTGATTCGTTGCTAGATTCGGAGACAGTATTGACGTGCTTAGTGAATATGTGCGTTCGGCGTTGAATTTTGCTGCCCGGTCATCTTGACAAGCACTTTATCTTCCACCCACCGGGCGAATTTGACGCTCGGGATGTCGACGGCGCGCCAGAAGACATCGCCAGCCCAGAGGGAAACGGGCAAGCAAATGAGCCACCCGATCAAGAAGCCCAGGCAGTACTGGAAATCTGTCTCCTTGCCGGTGACTTTCCAGATATTCGGCATAAGCGAGTAGCCCAGGGAATGGAGGATAGGGCCGTGGACGATATAAAAGGCAAAGGATATCTTGCCTAGATATTGCGATAGGGGGTTAACAAAGAGTTTCTGGATATCCTTGGAGTGGTTTATGCTGAAGACGATCAGGACTGCGCCGAGCGTCTGCGGGAAGCGGTGGGGTTCGGGATAGGTCTTAGGGGTGATTCTCCAGGTCCACATGTAGAACGGGGTCCACTTGTAGCCTGTGTTCGGAGCGGAGCCGAGATAGAGGCCGAAGATGAAGAGGGCAATCCAGAATTTGCGGCTTGAGACACGGGAGAGGGTGGAACGGATGCGGTGCATGGGCTTTTGGTCTGCGGATGGGCGCTCCCATGTACCGTTGATCAGATCAGCTTCAGCCATGAGCATGCCAGACAGGAACAGGACGACGTCCCACCGGCCCCAGCGCATACAGAACCAGACTAGGCCGCTAACCAGGGAGAGGCGAGCAACCGCTGTGACGCGCGAGGTTGCGATGATGGTGAGGAAGAGGACAATCGAGCACCGGAACTCCACTGGAATCGTCCACAGGTGTGGGTTGTAATAGTTGTAGTATAGCGCCCAGTTCCAGGGGTCCATGAGGTGCACCGCCGTGAGGTACATGTCCCAGAATTGCTTGGTAAAGGACTTCATCAGAGGAGGATGCTGCTCGTTCGTGCCGAGGATGGTGTGCCCTTCATTGAGGACTCTAAGCGAGTAGTTGTAGACGCCGAGACGCACTGCGACAAAGACCAGAACGATACCGACAATAGAGGGGATGTACAGTCGGAGACCGCGACGAAAGGTCGAGGACGCCAAAGTCGCCAAAGTTTGCTCCCAAGAGCGAGTACGGATAATCTTCAGAGGCTTGTAGGATAGCACATATCCCGAAATCACAAAGAAGATAGCAACCATGATGTGGCCGGAGACCAGTAGGTGAACGATGGGAAGGTGAAGGATCCCATAGTTCTCGTTATTGAAACCCCACCCCACTGCGACTTTCCATGTGTAGGTGAAGAGAAAATGAAAATTGAAGACCAGCAGACAGGCCCAGCCTCTCAAGCCATCCAGCGCCGCGATCGCATGGGGTTTCGTGGGCTGGGGAGGCTCCCCACCCACCAGATGTTGCAGATAGCTCGGTGTGAGGGCGATGCCCAATCTTTTAAGCCAACGATCTAAATATTCCTGCCAGTGATCTGAGACGTGCTGTACGTGTGAAGACAGCCGATCAGGACGTGCGAGCACATGGGAGGGGGTGTAGTCGGATAGATTCGTCCAGTTGAAGGACGACTTGCCTCCATAGGGGCCTGACTCTAGGTCATCGAGGGGAATATCATGGATCGCAGGAGAAGGCCGAGTGTCCTTGTCAGTGAGCAACATATCGTGAGGATGTTCGTGTCAGGTATGAGTTTGTGCGAAGACGCTGGGGAGAGCCAGTGCTTCATACAGTGGGCACTGGTATAAACGGGGGTCTGATTGCGCAATCAGATCGACAAGGCGACTCAAAACGATCCAGTCGTTTGGAATAATGGGAAACAATGTTCGAACCAAGCCGTTCGCTTTAAGACATTCAACAGTACGCGATAATGGGTATATTCAAGATGCAGACGTGTTCCTTCAAGAGTCCATCAATCGACAATGCGCTAAAGCAAACGAGTAGATATTCTGAGGACAGAATCTCAATTGTTAGAATGGTCGCATGATCTCTGAAATTAGAGGGTCGAGAGTCTCTCACCTGTTGTGTATCACCGATATTAACATGAAAAAGAAAGAAAGATAGCTAGGGGGAAAGGAATGACTGAGTATAGAGAGAGAGTGTGTGATTGATGGCAAAGGAAGACTTGGAGTAGAGGAGTGAGAAGCGAAAAAGGACAAATCAGACACAGCCTCTTTTAATGGTCCCGTCGTCAACTGGCGCCGATCACCAATCCTGTCCGCATCTCGTCAACAAAACATCTTTCTGCTTGATATTGCTGGTATTCTTGAGTATCTTATGGGTTTGACTATGCATCAATATCTGTACTGTTTGTAAAAGTAGTAATCCAGTTAGTATCCAAGACTTTGTGGAAGCTCTCTCGAATTGGTACTAACTATATCATAGCTCTACTATGACCTCAGCTGTGATCCATGGTGAAGACACACGGAGAACGAGCACTTAAGGATTTCCTGTGCATTGATAGAATCTTCCTGGACATCTTCAAGCATTGCTCAAAAAGAATCAATTAGACACAAAGTAGTCAGGAGATGCGACGGCTCTCGCTGTCCATCGCTCTCACAGCACAGGGTCAACCAAACCAGCCAAACTTTTCGGCTTCTCCAAATTCTCTCCGTCTCATCCACTCTCTCTCCATCTCCCATCTCCGTCGTCATCGCACATTTGTTGTCCGAATTGTTCTCAACAGCCAATCGAACCGTCCCTACGAAAGACGCCAGAGTCAACTCCTTCACTTTCATCCGTATCCCCCTCTCAATTCCTCTTTTCTCCCCTCCTTGCCTTTCGACCCAAGGCAAAGAACAGTGGCCCCTCGACGCATCCGATTGCGACGTCGGAGCCCCTGTTTTTTTATTTATATAACTTTTTAATCTGGATGTCTGGCTTGGTCATTTTATCTTCATTATTTGCCCTTTCCTCGCCGCAGTGACTTCTAGTGAATAGTGTCATTATGGATTTGCGCACGATCATGAATAGCGATGCCACTGGCACCTCTGATGCTGCCCCTGCTCCGTCGCAGCAATCGCTTTCTCGAACTGAATCCGTGTATCCTCCACGTCAACCGCAAAATGTCACCGCATCGCCCTCGTCCTCCTCGCCTTCCCATCCTCCTGGATTCCAACAACAGCCCCCTCAGCCGCCTCCATTGCAGAGGCCTCATGCGTCTCCAGAGCGATCGTCTTCCTATGGCTCAATACAATCGCCTTTTCAGTATCATGCGGCCTCTGCGCTGAGCGCCGGTGCGCAATCCCAACGAGGCCAGAGTCCGCCCCCTCCAGCTCCTCCATTTGCTTCCTCCGGCTCGCGTGACTCCTATTCTGCGTCCGCCAGTTATAACGCGGCTGCACCATTGGCCTCTCCATACACCCCGCTACCCGCGAGTTCTGCGGGCCCTTTCCCGGAGCAGCAACAGCAGCAGTCGTATTTCGCGCAGCAGCGATCCCAGTCCATCCAGTCTGTCCTCTCCCCTCCACCCGCGACCAACCACTCATTCCCACCCAGAGAAAGTCCTTCCTCAGCTGCTTCGCAGTCGCATCCATCACAGCTGTTCTCACCCCCGGCGCATGGGTCGTTGCCTGGTACTCCGCGGGCGTCCGCTACCACATCTCTACCGCGTCAAACAACGCCGTCCACACGTCCTCAATCCTCCGGTCATGACTCCCAATCACACCATGGCTCAAGCCCTTGGATTGGCCCGGATTCTCAAGTCCACATGTCTCCAACTTCGATGCCAAGAGCTTCGCGTCAGGATTCAAGACACCGAGAGCTGACCCCGCGACAATTTCCTCCAGGGGTTGACAGGCGAGCATCGGATGAAAGCGTGAGCCCCAAGACCGCCTATCCTGCAGCGTCCCGACAAGGAAGCATGACCTCAACTTCCGAGCAGAGGTTTGCAGCACAGAGCAGTCGCATTGGAGACGGCGCAACGAGAGAGAACTCCACAACGTCAATTATGAATATGTCGCAATCGCCGGTTACTCCTGTGGACGCTCGTACTGCGCCAACGACGTCTCAAATAAACAGCTCGCCTTCGTCCCAGTCGTTCAAGCCCAACGAATCCCTCACCGGAGACGCATTTCCGACTAAGATGGATGTTTCTCCCGATTTCAGACCCGATTCGAGTGACCGACCTGCGAAGCGGAGAAGAAGACGATATATTGAGCCCCCAATCTTCGCTCAGCGGTCTGTTCGCACTAAAGGACGATGCCCGATGATTCCAAACCCACTCCCACCGATTCCCAAACATCTCAGAGACTCGCCCCAGAATCCCTTCGAAGCACGCCGACAGTCAACTCCTTCACAAGCGCCAGCCGCTACAGTCGCGCCCTCGACCGCCGCAGCAGCTGTGACCAAGTCGTCATCCCCACCTGTCAACGGCCCTCCAGCGGCCTGGTTACCCCGACCCCGGCCGCTCCGGCTCTCCCAGTAGGAAGCTTAGGACCATGGGAGCCCTCAATCACCGGGTTTATACCTCACGAGGAAATTACCAAGTTGGTGTGCGACTTTTTGTTCCAACATGTAGTGCTCAGGAACGATGCTACTGCCGCACCCGCCGGCACAGCTGCGGCAGGCCATGGGGCCATCATCGAGGTGGAAGCTAAGTTAGGGCACATTATCGACATGGATCGCGGCGAGAGACTCAGCCTCCCGATCTTAACGGAAAGCGTCATTAACAAGGAAAACCCTCGTTTTCGGACCGCATTCGAAAGTTCAATGACACTTGTGAGTACCATTTCTTTGTCTACCCTGAGCCACTTAATTAACGAAGCTATTCAGTCACAACATCGGGCAATGAACAACTTTCTCAACGAAGCCGTGAAAGCATCTATGCCGCAAACAAATCAAGGTCGAATTCCCCTATCCTACGCTCACAAGAAAGAGCGAGACACCTTCTATGAAATTTCCCCATCCGAGCTTCCGCCAGTCATCAGACAGAACCTCAATCCCCGTCATAAACCGAAGGTCCGCGTCACAGTCGATCAGCGCACTGGCGAGGTCCTCGCTAAGATCGTCAAATGCCGCATTGCAGACATGGACGTGCACAGTCCGCGCACATGCGTCGATTGGCGAGTAAGCGTCAACCTCGAAATGAGCTACGAAGGCGACGTCAGTCATCTCCCCATGGTAGACAGCCGAGGCGGCCGCGGCGGAGACAGAAGCAAAGACCGCATGAGCTACAGACATTTGGCATACCAGATCGACCTGACCCAGGTTGCCAAATCAGAGGTAAGCCTTTTTTTTTTTTCTGGCGCCCGCCCCCTACTCCTGAACCCATTCTGACGATGACCCAGCCCCCTACCAAAGGCGACTTCGAACACGAACTCGAGATCGAGGCCTCCGCCGCCGAGATTCGCCGTCAGGGCCAGCTAGCCATGGCCGGTGACCCGCAGAACCAATACGAAGATCTAGTCAAGGGATTTGTGGATAACATCCGCGTGCTGGCGCGTGCGGTGCCGCCGCCTTCTTGATATTCCATGCCACGTCGGCAGGCTTCAAAACCTAATATCATCGCTGCTACACCTTCTCTTCCAGGTAGAAGAAATACATACTACTACTCCTCCGCCTCGGATGGAATTGCCTTAACCTTCTCGATTGTGTTAGTATATATCCCTTCTAGTTTTATTTTTAATGGTCAGGTCGACGAGTGACGAAAGGAGCCTGAAATCGTGACATAATATGACTGATACGACATGTCGAATATTCATTGCGTTTGCAGCTTTATTCAAAACCAGCATATAGATCCAAGCCCATACAGCTGATTACAATCCATCTCCAAGTTTGACAAGGTGTACATGATATTGAGTCCGCCCTGTATATGTCTAGAATACAACTATCGAAGTATGAAGTGAACCGACTGACACACGCATTATACATTGTCCTTCTGTATTTGGGAAAAGATAAGCAAAAAACCGGCAACGTAAAATACATTCCAAAATATTCGCCTTTTTCGTGCACTGAAAGCATGCTCTAAGGGCTGGGTGTTCCTTCGTCGTAGCGAGGCCCGCCATCCTCACCGTCCCCATATGCTCCTGCACCCGGGGTCGCCGCCGCACCACCCATCGCCGGCGTGGGTGCATCGTACGGACGACCTGAGAGGCCGCCGGGGGTCGGTGCATTGAACACCCCCGGTGTCGGGGCGCTGTCAGCCCAGGCTCCAGGAGTAGGTGCCGAAGCTCCGGGGGTTGGTGCGGTATATGCCCCTGGGGTGGGAGCAGAATAGGCCCCACCGGGAGTGGGAGCGTCGTAGCCGCGAGAATCTCTAGTCCCGCTTCCTGCCGAGGAGCTCCCAGACCAGGCCGGCGTGCGGCCGCCGGCGTTGGCCCCTCCCCAAGCTGGCGTTCGTGAGCCTGCCGCAAATGCATCAAAGCCACTTGATCCAGAGCCGGAGTCGTAGGGTGTTCGTGCGCCGGCATTCCAGGCTGGTGTGCGTGAGCCAGCGCCTCCGTATGCGGTTCGACTTCCATCGTAGGGGTTCGACGTGCGCGATCCGTCCATCTTCCATGCTGGGGTGCGAGAACCACTGACGCCTGCCCAAGCGGGTGCTGAATACCAGTTAGTTTCAAACCTTCCATCATAAACGGCATTAAAGAAAGACTTACTTCGAGCCGAGGATGCACCACCCCAAGCAGGCGTTCTGGATGAATCTGCCGCTGCCATGGGCGTACGTCCACCTGACCATCCGGATGGCGGCGCTGCGGAAGCACCATATGGCACACGCTGTCCTCCCTTCCGAGACATGTCCAGCGTTTGGCCGGTGACAGGATCCTTGACGAGGAGGACGTCTTTGGGGATCGTCACCAGTTTATTTCTGGAGTGAAGCTCCACACGTGCTTGTACATCTGTCGAATCCTTCACAATACCTACTAGACCCTTGTACGGCCCCTTGCGCACTTGGACGGTCTTGCCAATCAACCGATCACGGCCGAAGCTTTTGGGAGGTCCCATTGAAGCACCAGGAATGCCGTTTCTCATCAGAGCCGGATTCATCTTGGTGAGGTCAGGCCCGGTGGATCTGCCACCCTTGGCCGACACAGTGACAACATTGGTCGTACGGACCACAACGATACCTGAATTTTCTGCCTGTGCTTTGTTGTGCAAGAACAGGAACGAGCGGTAAATGTGAAGAATGACGCCGCTCCTCTGGTCCCCATACAATTCCCGCACAGTATCGCCGATTCGAATTTCAGCACCATTGCGATCAGTAGCCACAGCGTCCCGACGTGGTGTAATCTTGTTTGCGACCTGTGAGGGAAGAACAGTGCGAATAGACCCGTTCTGGTCCAGAACCCTCAACGACTCACGATCAACCTTGACAACGCAAGCAACAGTGGAGGCACTGGGACAAGATCAGCGAACAAAGAACATACTAAGCCAGCAAGAGAGAACTTACTCTAGTTGAACGAGGTCGTGCACATCAAACATGCCCAACTTCCCATCGACACCAGTCTCGGCAGAGAGCCTGAGATCCTTGCTGAAGACGGTAATTTCCTGCATGCTCATATCACTGAGCAGTGTCACAGTATCGTCTTTGACCTGTACCACCATACCCAGCTCATCCTGGTATCGACTGCCGCCAATGACCTTGACATGGTCACCTTCCCTGAAGCGCTTGCGAAGAGATTTGACTGGAGCTTCAATCATCTGACCGGCCAATTCACCTTCCGTTACCTGCAAGGTAACGATGTCTCCGCGAGTCGAAGTGGTGCGACCGACCAAGCCCTGCTGCTCGCCTCGGAACACCTCGACTGGGTCACCTGGAAGATATGATTCCTCGGCCGTCGAGTTTTTGAGCGTCTCCGCAAGTGATGCAAGGTCCAAGTTCGAGGTACCGTCATCAGACCCTCGAGCGAACATAGTAACCTCCTCGAGACGGGGGTTGACGTTCTTTGTGATAAGATGCTGTACCTTCATGTCCTTGATCAAGAAACCGTCGATATACGTCTCACCAAGGTAGCTCCACGACTTTCCGCCCAAGCCAGACGTAGCTGACAAGTACTTTCCATGTCTTTTCTTCGCTTCAGCCTCGCTGAATAGTCGCTGGGGAGGCCGCGGCCCTCCTGAAGCCATGCCAGGGCGCTTTCGCTTGATGTCGACTACAGGAGCTCCACTGTCCTCATTCAAGCCATAATCTAACCGCGGGACCAAGCGCACTGTAACCTCCAAGCCGTTTGTGTCCACTTCTTCAATTTGGGCCAGATCACCTTGGTATTTGCCGCGCTTGATGCGAACCCATCCGCCAGGGTTGAGCTCCTCGGATTTCTGAACTCGAAGTAAATCGGGCATCTCTCGAACGGGAACCAGGATCATCTTTGTCCGTGGATAGACATTTGACATATCTTCCAGCGCCTCCATCACATCAGCTTGTCTGCGCGCTTCGACGTAGATGTAACCACTCATGGCACCCCACGCTCAAAGGCAGAAATGATCTTGATGGGTTTCCGAGAGCCAGCTGGGCGCTCTTCGATCCGCTTTTGAATCGCAAATACGACTTCACGCTCCTTGCCGGCTTTGCAACGGACACCCCAGATACTGGGATCGTCAACGCTGGGAAGAAGCAACCGCTTGGGCACGACAACGGCATCGGTGGCGGCGGCGCGGTTCCGACCATAACGTTCTTTGAGCAACTGCGCCTGCTTCTCAGCATCCATACTGGCCTCGAGTTCGCGCTGGCGATCTAGTTGTCGGTGCCGGCGGTCGTCTGTCTCCGCGCCAGCAGGGAGCGCATCCAGATCGTCCGGGTGCATCTCTGCGCCAAACTCCATCTCATCCTCCTCGTCTTCAGCCTCGTCCTCTTCCTCGTCGACACCGGCCTCCGTTTCGATGAAATTATGCACGCCGCCCAATCTCCTTCTTCGCTTTCTCGGACGGCCCTAGTTGTAAGACAGCCAAAATTAGATCTGCCATCAGCTCGGTAAGGAAGCTACATCACTTACCGATGAGACATCTTGCTCATCTTCGTCTTCATCTTCATCTTCATCTTCGTCGTCCTCATCCTCTTCCTCCTCATCCTCCTCATCATTTTCACCTTCTTCCTCGTCTTCTCCCTCAACTCTCTCACCGCCAGCGTCAGCCTCATCAATGTCTTCCTTTACGTCATCTTCACTCCCCTCACGGTCGGCCCTCTCGGGCTTAACATCGGCATGGTCGTCCTCGTCTTCCTCTTCCTCGTTAATCCGGCCGCGACTCGTAGACTATTCCAAAAGGTGTGAGCACTTGTACCGATCCCAGCCAGTCAATCTAGTAGACACGTACCTGTGGCTTGGCATCCTCATCAGACTCCTCCGCAGGCACGGGATTAAAATCATCGTCCTCTTCGTCGGACCCAAAGTCCTCGTTCAGAAAATTCCGCGACATGTTCTAGGTTGTGGCGTGGATGTTGTGTAATGAGGTTAACGATTTTTGGTAAATTCGCACAATGAATTTCGAGAGCCCGTGAGTTGATCCCTGAGATTGAGAATGAAACACAAGAGCACTCCGATCCTTTCTCAAGGCGAAACGAGGTGATTCCGCGATCGAGCTCGAGGCAGACCAAGGGTGGGAAAAGATCCAAAGAGCAAACAGTTGCTACCGGGGGATGTCGACTGATTTAAACAGACAGTAGCCTAGCTCACCACCCGGAAAATCGAACGTCCGGTCGAGGTCCAAAGTACTTGTACGAGAAGGACAATGATCAAAAGACCAGGGCGTCGAAGTTGGCCAGACAGTCGAGCGGCAACTTCTCCGTTCGTTCGCCGACTCCGCGACCGCGACGAAATGGGGTTCCTGCCTTTCCAAGACGGAAAATCGGTCTGAAAAGTGAGAGAATGTGAAGTATACGGCTGCTCACCAGAGCCTGATGGTGCGAGCAGCTATTTTTGTGAATCGGCAGGGAAAGAGTTGTGTTGAGCCCCAAGGCGAGGGAACTTTTGAGGTGCCAGCGCAATAGGCAAAGGGTGACTGCGCTTGTGGTTTGAATGCGCTCCCGGAGCCCCCTCGGTCGGACTGAGCAAAGAGCAACACAACAGCAGTTGATGGATTCATCAACGTCTCTTAACTCTCGCTTCTAGATTTCTATTACGTCTAAGCTCTTATTCCTCCACATCCATACTGATATAAAGCATTGTTCAACGGTATAATCCAATCTTTAAATTATTTATCAGATCTTAGCTGGTCGTCTCAAAGTCTTGACCGTCGAGCATACTTGAATACGAAGAGTTCATGAGTACTTCCTCAGACATGGTCTGGAAAGGTAGAATCAATTGATATTCCCATATGTACAGACACACCAAATGGAATGCGAATCAGAGGCAATCCGCTACTGGAAACAAACGGAGCTAGAACAAAAAGTGGATATCTATGTGTTTTTGCAATCTCATATCCAAGAACTACAGCTTCATGCCAAACATCTGGTGCACCCGCAAGCTCTGGCGAACGCTGAGGTCCAACATGATTTCCTCGCTGCCACCGGGGATAGCATAGGCACGAACATCACGATACAAGCGCTCAACCTTGCCACCCTGGCCTCCGCGGCTGTAGCTGAGGCCTCCGAAGATCTGACTCGCCTCACGGGCGCAGAATTCGAAAGTGGTAGTTGCCTGAGCCTTGAGACCGGCAATGGCACCACCCAGCTTGAGCATCGCTTCGGTCTCCTCCATCGACTGGCACTGATAAATGATGTTCTCTAGCCAGTTGTATGTTGCTTCGATCTGGCGAGCCATGTGCGCCAGCTTCATCCGAATGACAGGGTGGTCAATGAGCTTCTTGCCGAAGGTTCTACGCTTGTGGGCGTACTTCATGGCTTCTTCGTAGCATACACGAGCGAACCGGACACACTGAATGACGATACCAATTCTCTCGTGGTTGAAGTTGGTCATGATAACTAGAACGTAGTCAGTACTTGTGTTTTGGGGAACTTAAGAGGTAACAACTCACCCTTGAAGCCCTGGTTCTCTTTGCCGATCAGGTTCTCCACAGGCACCTTGACGTCCTCGAAGGTAACATAGGTAGTGCCACTGCTCCACACACCCTGGCAATCCATGCGTCTGGTACTGACTCCACCCGCCTCTCTCTCAATCAAGAGGACACTGATGCCGTTCATGCCGGGCCCGCCGGTACGAACAGCAGTGGTGAAGTAATCAGACCAAATACCATTGGTAATCCACTTCTTCTCACCATTGACAATATAGTGCTTGCCATCAGGAGACAGCTTGGCTTCGCATGTCAAGTTGGCAACATCACTGCCCGCATCCGGCTCGGTGATGGCGAGACAGATGCGCTTGTCGCCGGCCAGAATACCGGGCAGGATTCTGTCAACCAGAGGCTTCTTGCCGAACTTGACCAGAGGCGGGCAACCGATACCGAAGCCACCAATCAAGTTCCAAACCAGACCACCACTGCCAGCGCGGGACAATTCGTCGGTGAGCAGCATCTCGTGGAAGAGATCCCAATTCTCAGGCGCAACCGACTGGACCCTATTGCGAGTGTGTTGGGCGGGGTACTTGGTCCCCAACAGACCAGCAAGGTATCCTCTCTCGCCCATCTGCTTGTAAATGTTGTCGGGCACCTGCTTGGCCTCATCCCATTCGGTAACGTAGGGCTCAATCTCGGTCTCCACCCATTGTCTGACTTCTGCGCGTAGGGCTGCGTGAGTTTGGTTAAAGTAGGGCGAGTGATACTGCAGTCATTCGGAAGATCAGCGGGACGTTTCAAAAGCGCAGTAAGGAGGATACTTGCAAGGGGAACATACACCTTGGTACCATGAAGGGTCCGCGAAGGGAACCAATTCACCGTAAGGCTCCAGGGGCTCGTCAGACTTCGCAGCAGCAACATCAACCGGAGCTGCAGCTTGAGGCCGGGGCGCCTCCTTCTTAGCAGGAGTAGGTGCAGGAGCAGCCTTCTTAGAATCTAGAGAACCAATCTGCAGCTGGCCCTTGTACTTCTTCAGGATCCCCTCGTTGTGATATTTCCAAAATTGTTTGGAAGCATCCTTGCCCGCCACTCGCGAGAGAACTAGATGCGCACTGTCAGCGCTGGTGCCGCTAATTTTCGACTCTAGCATATGACAACGACGTACTCTTCTTTCCACCAGGGTGATCGTCCTGGAACTTGGTCAAGTCATAGACATCTTCATCGATGATAACCCAGAGGTTGTCTGGCTTGTTATGCGACGCCACATCGTCTTTGGAGAATGTTTTGGACATGATTGTCTATATAAACAGATGTTATGAGCAAAATGAAAGAATAGATACAAGCCTAGTGTATATATCTGCAACCCACGCAGTTAGGTCAACAAGCTATCCGGGCTATGGGGCAGAGTGTGGTCAAAAAAGGGAGGGACAGGAAAACAATCTGGGGTAAGACAGAAGAGAGGATTCGGGGATAGATATAGGTTTAGGAAATTCGGCACAACGAGCGGATCCATCCACCTCGGAGTTCCAGGATATAACGAGGACAAGAAGTGATGATATGCCTGCGCTATCCAGCACAGCCAGTAAATGGCATGAAAAATGTACAGGTAGTGGATATCCCTTTCGGAGGAACAGCCCAAAAGAGCCCACTGAGCCCCGTTCTCAAGGTCTTAGTGCTTGTTAATGTCGGTAGATTTATTGATGACAAGTAGAGCAGTAGTGACGCTTGCGGGGTGGTATGTGGCCATCTTTCACATGCGCAGCCCAAAAAGCAGCCATGGTGATTGATGACTGGCTGGCTGCCCATGTCCCCCCAAAATATTAACTGCAGCACACACGCGAAACACCTCGGCCAGATGATGCTCTGCAGGGTCATCCGCCGGTGATTGTATGTTCTGCTATTGGCTATTGAGTGTCCGCCTGCGTCATGGCCGCACGTGTGCTGATCGCCCATATTGGGAATCTGCCGAGGTTGTAGCCAGCCACACGTGATGTCGCCTTAGTCCAGATTGAGCAATCAGCGCGAAGTCCCGTCTCACCAGAATCGAGAGATACTGTTTGGGTACTAGTACTTACAAACAGGCTGTTCAGGAGCGCCTCCCATGTGAATTCGCTTTAAGATTCTGATCGGCTCATTTTCATCAACTGGCTCGGAGACATGGGTCATGGATCAGGATGGCTCTCTTCAGCCGTTCCATATCACCAAGATTTCTCCGATGCGCTGGTCAAAAGGCCCTATGCATGTGGTTCCTAATTTAACAGTTGACAGCAACGATTTCTTCTGCATAGGCATCTGTTACGATAGACAGTAAACGGGTCTCGAGTTACACCTTTCTTTGATGGACACTCCAACTTTGGAGATGCTCAGTGCTTAACGGTCCAAACAAGATGCTGCACTGTGAAATGCATTACATGCCGTTATGATCTACAAAATGAGCAGGCTAAGGCTTGACGTCCAATTTGCGAAAGTGTAAACCACAAGCACGAGTGGTTCTCATTGCCCTAGCTGAAAGTAGAAGCGAAATCATCATTAATCTAGTAGTACAACCGCCGTGTAGATATGCATCAATATGCCAGCGTTTACTCCTCCATGCCTTCAGACTCGTACTCAAACTCCTCTGGCACAGGGGCTTCCTCGCCACCTTCTTCATCCTCATCCACAGCGGTCAGGACACCAGCGGCGGCCGCTGCCCCTGCGGCTGCGGTAGGATCCGCACCCAGAGGCATCCGACCAGCATCGCGTTGGGGTGTCTGCAAGGCCGCGGCGCCAATGGCGGCTTGCAGCCGATCTTGAAGCGATTCTGCGGTTGCTGCGGGTTGTCTGACTTCTTTGCTTGCTCTCATCTCGATTGTTTCACGAGGTTCGTCGGGGTTCTTGTCCAACACGACAACAACTCCTCCGGTAGGCTGTGGATGCATCGTTAGCAATTCTCTGGGATGGAGAAAATGTGATTTAAAACCTACCCGTTTTACCGGCTCGTACCGGGGCTCTGGGAATGTGAGGTACTTGAGCTGAGCAGGAAGAACCCTGGACATGTTTTCAAGTTCATATCCGACCTTCTCCCGCTCCGCTTTCTTCTTCGGACCTTCGCCAGGGCCCTTCTCTCCTTCCTTCGCCTCTTCCTCGGGCTTCTCCGCACCTTCGTCGGTCTCCATCTTCTCGGGGAGCTGGTCCGACACTTTAGGTGTCGTCGGCGTCTGATCAACATCCATGCTCTCACGCCGTTGTTGTTTCTCGCGACGTTGAGCGCGACGCTTCGCTTGAGCAGTCGTCGAAAGTACAGCAGTCTTGACTTTCTCAGGCGCCTCCTCAGCTTTCACCTGCTGCTCTGGAGGGTAGTCGAAAAGACTAGGTCTCGTGTTGCTATGGAACTTGAAGAAAGGGACTTCAAGCTTCTGATCCACGCCGATGACTGCAGTTGGTGTGAAGCTGAGCGACAAGAAGTGAGTGAGGGGGAACCAGTACCAATACTGAATGAAAACGGCCGCTCCAACGATTCCGGGCATGTTGAGGTTGCCTGTTTGTGTCTGCAGGCTGATCGTGCAGTTCCGACCACCGGCGTCGATGATGCCAAGAGCCACAGCGCAGCCGAACTTGGCCATGGCGTCTTCGTGTCTGTCTCCAATCATCTTCATCATGGCTTTACGAAGACTGCTGACACGGGGGTTCATAGCCTCGTTCTGCTGGACCAAAACCATGGCCAAGGCGATCAAGGCGCCCTGCCTGACGAAATCGGTGGAATCCTTCAGCATGGGCTCCAGAAGGTCGATCGCCTCGTCCAACCCGGTACCAGCGCACGAGATACCCAGCGCCATTGCCGCACCATATCTCACATGGGGATTATAAGATTCGGACAACAGCTCAACCATCCGAGGCACGCTCTGGTACTTTCTGAACAGGATGAAGCCCAAACTGAGAACTGCCACACGACGAACGTCATCGTTGACATCGCTAACGGCAACGTGCAGGAGCCTGCGGACGGCTTTGTTGCTGCCAGTACCACAGTAAGCAAGAGCAATGGTCATGATACCACCGTAACGGAGGGTCGGGTCAGGGTCGCCCAGAAGGCCGTTGATCAACTCATCAGCAGCCTCTTGGCGGCCATACATGATCAAGGCCATACCCATAGCCAGACCACGAACAATCTTCTCGTGCTGCGTATCGTGAGCATACTGAATCATGTCCTCAAGAGCTCTCATGTTTCCGGTTCCCAGCATGACCAAGCCCATAGCCAGACCAACGGCCTCACCATTGAGCGCTGAGTCAGTGTAGAGCACGTTCCGAAGATCCTCATAAATACCCTCATCACCAGTGGCCATGCCTGCAACACCCAATCCTAGCGCTCCACCGTGCTGAACAACCTCCTCCGTAGCCTTTTTGAAGTGATCACGAATCATGTCAACAGCCATTCCACCATGGTTAGCATAGATCAGTCCAAAAGCGTAGAGTGATCCACCCTGGCTGTAAACGGAGCCCGACCCGCCAACACCAGCAATATGTTCCCTTGGGAGATAGGGTTGCAGCAGCTTTTGGCCTTGGCTCAGATTACCACGGTGAATGACACCCAGCGCGGCAGTAGCCGTGAACTTGGACCAGTTAACAGCCTTGCCCAGCCACTCCAGATTATCTCGGAAGAACTTGTCATGTGTGGTGCCAGCATGCATGAAGGCATTGGAAAGAGTAACTGCTGTATGGAAGATGGAGTTCCGAGCCTCCAGACTGTCGCGGACCTTGTTCAAAATGGCAATGTCGGCTTTGTTATTCCGGTAGAGGAACTCGAGATTGAGTTGGATAGATTTTATGCCGTCGAGAATCTCGAGTATATTTTTGAATGCTGTACGCGCTTCATCCGATAACTTCGCCTGGGCATCGTTCGATCCAAGAGACCTTGATTGCTCCGAGCTGGACTGGTCTTGCAGCAGAGGATCAGACTCCTTGGGCTCTTCTTGACTCTCCGTTTTGCTGCTGTCGGGTTGCTGTGCTTCGGGTACAAGTTCGGCAATTTCTTCGCGAACCTTCTTGAGGAATTCTTGAGTACTATTGTCGTAAAGGTCAAAGGAGATCTGGTAGGCAACGGCAAGTGACCTGGCATCACCCTTCTCCACCAACTGTCGAAGAATGACGGACGCCATGGAGTGCTCGTTCAGGAAGACAACACATTTAGCAATCGAGAAGTAGTCCGGAGCAGGAATTTCGTTCAGGAGCTCGAGAATGAGTTTCAAGATCTAACTCGGTTGTTAGCGGAAGGCCTGACAACGGCAAAATAAAATAAGAAAATAGACATACTTCATTGCGAAAAGCCCGCTCCTGCACGATTCCCATGCAGATATCCAATACGTACTCCATGAGCTCTTCGCTTCGACGGGATCCACCGTGTTTCTTCTCATCCTCGCTTGCCCGGATAATAGCCCTGCGGAGCACGTCCATATTCTTCGCTTCGATGGCAATTCCGATAACCTGACGATAACGTTTCTGGACAAAACATTGCTGGAACAAAAGCTCGATGACAGCTTGCAGCTGGCCCTGAACTCCCCGCTTCAAAACCAAAGAGGTTTCATCATGCTTGACAGACACGTCTTCGCCTCCCGGGTGAGCGGCGTCCAAACCTGGCACCTCCTGCCGAGACAGCAATGACTTTGACGGCAATGTGGACTGCGAGAATGGCGTGATGGGAGATGTTAGGCTGGCGGACGTGCTCGTGGCTCCTTCACCCGATGTCGGGAATGAATTGTTCAAGTTGGCAGACGGGTCGCCTGCGGCGGGTCTTTGAGCAGCGGACAGGGAGATAAACGTATCGACACATTTGGCTTGAGAAAACTTAGGTCAGTCGAAGGTTATATCAGTCGGAGGAGTACTGCCAAAATTACCGATGATTGTCTCCTCGAACTCGCCACCGTTCTCCAGCTTGAAGAGTTTCCCAGCTCCGAGAGCGAACACCATGCTTTCGTTGTATTCTTGAAGGTGATAGTAGACCTTCGCCGCAACTAAAGCGGCGAGCTCCCGCTCCGGGAAAGACTCATCTTCGTATAATGCCTCTCTAAAGGTCAAGAGTCGGTTAGCGACAAAGAATTTTGGCAGGGACTTTTTCAATCATGACGTGGAAATCGATTCTATGCAGATAATAGATGGAATGACCAACATCTGAGGCACTGCGTCGACAACTTCTGTCCAGAGGAGGTCGATTTGAGAATCGAGGGTCTTTAGAGCGAAGACTCTCAACTCCGGATCGGGTTCAGAGAGAAAGCCAACAAGACCAGCGGCCGAAGCAAGTCCGACCATCTTTGAAAGATATGTCTTGCTCCCAAGACCGTTTTCGTAGTTGATGGAAGGGTCGGCTTTGCTATCGCGAGAGATGAGGCGATAGCTTCGAGATGGAGCTTCAGAACAAGGGAATCAGCTAAAATCTAGGGCAAAAGTATTCGGAAGAAGCAAATACCGAGTTATACAAAATTTACAGAGAGGCAGTAAATCAAAAATAAACAGATAATGGGAAGCAGATGAGAGAAGGAAGCTGTGAGTTGATTATTAGCAAGCTTCCGACAGCAGCCAGGCACACGTCAACGGTTGAAGCTGACGAAAGGCGCCTGTGGTTCCTGCAGAAACCCCTAAAATGGTCACGTGATTTAATGATGAAATGGTGAACAGGTGAACAGTCGGGGAAAGGAACAAAGCCAAAATGTCAACATGACCACCTTCGCAGATGATCATTCTTTTCTTGCATTGTTTGGCGTTCTGTAGTGTTAACGTTCCTTTTCTTTGTTTCCTTTTTCTTCTGGTTTGACATCCATCGAGCGCGATATTTCCCCCTCTTTCCTAAAGCCTAGCTTAGTCGGGTTCTAAATACAACGCGCAGAGAGTATAGTGCACACTCTTCAAATGATCATATTTCATATTCTAAAATGTCAGCCATATCCCTAAGAACGCGAAGCAGCATTTGTTATCGTTGCCTCTGAGAATGCCTACGTCTCAGCAAGACCCCCTTCTCTACATTGACCGCCAGACGAAACACATACAGCGCAGTTTACAGGTCTTGATTGACGCCCAGAGTGACGGTCTCCTAGCAGGCCTCGCAGGAACGCCTCATACTGATTCCATCTCCAATCAAAGCTTCACCTCGACTGAACTTAGTCGCTCCAAGAGCCCGTCTACCATACCGGTCCGACAACCTGTCGCGAGGAAGATTGGGTTACGTGAAGCACGGGAAGGGATATTCAAATCGATCTACGATTTGCTGAAGCTGAAAGAGGAGGAACGAGAAATACTCAGCTTCCGACTTGACGAAAGGACGGATGCTCTGGAACAGATTGACAGATTTAGTACCAAACGAGCTGGCTTGAAGGATGCCATATCGACCATCCGTGATAATGAGGAG